CAAAAGATGGAGGTTATTCTATTAAGTGTTCCTCCCACTTGCTTTGATAAAGCTATAATTTTTTTCAGCATATCCCTATGGGAACAAAACAAATTAATATGGGCTGGAAAAGGGCACTGCAGATGAATAATAATAATAAAATATACAGTGGCTACAAGTTAAATTCCACCTCTCTCTATTCATCAAATATGGGACACTGCATAGATAATCACAGTTCATCCTCTATAGCAGTGTTTTTCAACCTTGGCAGCTTTAAGATGTATGGACTTCATTTTCCAGAACTTCTCAGCCAGTATACTCTACTATCATTCATCCACCCACCCGAATCCTAAATACCCTCCCAGCAATGTTCTGTTGCGCAGAACTAGATAAGCCTCGAACTTTGGGGTTAGGTTTAGTCAGTATGTAATTGGTATGCTATAAGGCAATCTGACCAAAAAAGTATAATCTAAAATTGTAAATTTTGATGTTTGCTCTTTAAAGGATGAAGATTATGTAGGTACAATAAGTGAAAATAACACTGAAGAAAGAGCAAATACAGTTGATGTTACAGACGTATTGGACAGCATACCTTTTACTTCAATGCAAGAAAATAACAAGCTAAACAAGAAAAGTTCCAGTGTTGAATGGGATCATGAGCTTGACACCTACCTTTTGGAAGCTTCTGAAGATGTGGAACTAATTGAAGCTACTGATATTTTTCATACCCAAAAGAACTGTATTGTGAATGAAATACCTGATGAACTTCTAGCAGGTGTTTTAAGAAATTATGAAGTAAAGGGAAGAAAGGAAAATTAGAAAAATCTTGTGGGTGAATTAAATATCACACTAGCACAGGGATAGGCAACCTTGGCTCTTTTATGACTCGTGGACTTCAACTCCCAGAATTCCTAAGCCAGCCATGCTGAGGGGAAAGGGAGAGGTTTCCAAGCTGAGCCATGCTGGCTCAGGAATTCTGGGAGTTGGAGTCCACGAGTCATAAAAGAGACAAGATTGCCTACCCCTGCACTGGCAGATACATTTGGCAATACTGAAAATCTAGCAAAAAATTAACTTGATTATTTATCTAAAACTACTCTGGCATTATGTGTATAATAAATTTTGTGTCAAGCTACAAACCCTACTGTCTTTAGGACCGCCATAGTGTTTCTAGGCTTATCCACAGTTACAAAGGGGAAGTGTGTGGAATTTGGGATCCACAGGTGCTCCTTATCAACGTGAGAGCTGAAACCACCGAGATATTTTGGTTGGCTAAAGTTTCTTTTCATAACAGTTGCTGGAAGATTAATTGGACAATGAGACCTGTGAGAGAGGGGAGGGAAAGTTTTAATCTTTTAATTATCTGTTTCCCGGCATATTCTCAGAGCTAGGTTCCTTTCTATCTTACTGGTTTGCTAATGCCTAATACAGCCAAAACTTGACACTAAGCTCTAAACAATTCCAATTCCATTAAGGGATCCTGAACCTCTTTGCCCTTCTGGTAGCCTCCAGAAGGGTGGTGAAGATTCAGGAGAGGCCTGAACCGGAGCAGCCATCTGGAGCCGGTTCTGGATCGACCAGTGGGACTCCAGCTGGGGCCGAAAGCAGCTTCGTAACCCCATCAGCCTTGACATGCTCTAAGGAGAGAGTTGAATAAAAGGAGCTGGCTTGCTTAGCCAAGTGGGGGCCCTGGATCTATTGGGAGAACACCTCTAAACCAGTGGTTCTCAACCTTTTTAATGCCGTGACCCCCCAACCGGTTGTAAGTCGAGGACTACTCAACCGGTCGTAAGTCGAGGACTACTCAACTGGTGCAGCACCGTTTGCAGAATGGGACTTTTGGCGGGCTCAGCAGGGCAGAGACAGCCTGGACAATTCCTATTGGCTTTTGAAAGCCAATAGAATTAGACTCTATTCAAGAGAGTCTATTCTATTGGCTTTCAAAAGCCAATAGAATAAAAGGGAGTAGCACAGCTAAGGAGAAGGGGAAAAAAATGGCGGACTGCATTGTTTGGCGACCGTGAAATGGTCGTTCGACCCCAAATGGGGTCCCGACCCACAGGTTGAGAACCACTGCTCTAAACGTATGATTATGAGCAAGAAGGCCCAGAGCCCTCCAAACAAGGAGAGAAAGCAGCCAGAGAAGGGAAGAGGCGTGAAAAAAACCCAAGTGCAGCAACGGAGCGTCATGGAGGTGTTCAGCGAAAAAGAGTGCAACGTCGTACCCCCTCACCACTCCACAAACTGCACTATTGAAATCCTGCCTGGGGTGAAACTTCTTAAACTGAAAATGTACTCCATGACTCTGAAGGAGATGAAGGAGCTGAGGGAGTACATTGATAAGAATTTAGCAAGAAGGTTTATCAAAGCAGTGAAATCCCGAGTAGCGGCACCAGTATTATTTAAGAAAGATGGGTCGCTAAGATTATTCTCTGGGATCAACAGTGCATGTGTGGAGAACATGTATCCCCTCTCTTTCATGAAAGACATGTTAGGACATTTAGCCAAAGGGAAGATATGCACGAAATTAGACCTGAGGGAGGCATACTACTGAGTGAGAATTAAGGAAAGTGATGTGTGGAAAAACTGTCCCTTTGGTAACTACGAATTCAAAATGATGCCACTTGGACTACAGGAGGCCCCTGCTTTGTTCATGCGACTCGTAAACAAGGTGCTGCCTGAGCATCTTTATAAGGGGGTTCTAGTGTATCTGGAGGACACCCTCATTTACACTGAAACCACGGACAAGGACATGAAGCTTGTGCAATAGGTGGTGAAAAAGCTATTGGAGGCTAAGCTGTACGCCAAACTGTTAAAAATGTGAGTTTCACAAATCTAAACTGGACTACTTGAGCTATTGTGTGTCCTGCGAGGGGATAGAGATTAACCCAGGGAATGTGAAGTCCATCTTGGAGTGGCAAGCCCCTAGCATCTGCAAGCAGCTGCAGAGTTTCTCGGGGTTTGCAAATTTTTACAGGCAATTCATCCCCTCTTTTGCCACAATTGCCTTAACAATCATTCAGTTGTTAAAGACTGAAAAAAAAGGGGGGGGGGAGAAGTCCTGGCCGAATCGACCCTGGGACTGCTGCAGCAGGGGGGTAATCCAATCAGACCCTGGGGGGATAGCCATGGACTTTATAGTGGAGCTGCCGGAGAGGGGGGGGGAGTACCGTAATTTGAACTGTAATAGACCTGTTTTCCAAGCAAATCCACTTCATCCCCTGTGCTGGACTCCCCTCAGCCCAGAAGCTAGCGAAAATGTTTTTGCAGCATTTAGCTAAGTGCATCATTTCAGATTGTGGGGTCCAGTTTACTGCTAAGTTCTGGAGGGAGTTTGTAAGGATGACAGGGTCCTCCTAGGAGCTCAGTTCTGCTTTTCATCTGAATACAAATGAATCTGCAAATGAGCCAACGCCATAGTGGAGCAGTACCAGTGTTCTCTCAACTACCAGCAAACAAACTGGGCAGAGCTTTTACCATTTGCAGAAATGGCATATAACAACAGTACACAGCACTGGGTTCACTCCATTTAAGTTATCCACAGGAGTGGAATTTGTGCCAATACCAGAGTGCCCACAGGAGTCCCCTCCTTGAGTACCCTGAGTGATTCGGTGGGTTCATTCTAATAGGTCCGGAGCGATGCTAAGAAGGCTTTAACTAAGGCACCCAATACACAAGCAGATAAAAAAAGAGCTCCCCAGGAAATCTTCCATGTAGGAGATAAAAGTGTATCTGTCTATTAAGTATCTTAAGTTGAGAAAAACTTGCAAGAAGCTGGGGCCAAAATACATAGGTCCTTTCTCTGTTGTAAAAGTAATTAACCCAGCGACAGTAAAGCTAAAACTACCAAGGTTGTTGAGAAAAGTGTATCTGGTATTCCACTGCAGTTTGCTGAAGCCATACAGGGGATCCACAATGAGACCAGTGAAGAAGGCAGCCCCAGCCCCAATAATGGTAGAAGGGGAAACACTTTATGAGGTTAAACGAATCCTTGATTCTAGAATCCACAAAGGGAAATTGAAGTACTTAATCCAGTGGGAGAATTATTCGATGTCAGAAGTTAGATGGGTAAAAGCCCAACACAGAAAAGCAGATTATTTGGTAAAACGATTACACACTAAGTACCTCCAGAAGCCAGAACTGGTACAAGGAAAAAATTAATAAGCCATGGTCTGTGTTCCTTTTTGTTTTCCAGGTTCCCCTTCCCTTCCAGTGGGTCAGCCTGTCAAGCTATGAACTGTACTGTCTTTAGGACCACTATAGTGTTTCTAGGCTTGACTACAGTTATGGGGGAGGGGGGAGAGTTTGGGACCCGCAGGTGCGCCTTATGAATATGGCAGCCAAAATGCCGAGATGTTTTGGCGGGCTGAAGTTTCTTCTCATAACAATTGCTGGAAGATTAATTGGACAATGTGACCTGTCACAAAGAGAAAAGTTTTACTCTTTTAATTATGTTTCTCGCCATATTCTCAGAGCTAGCTTCCTTTCTATCTTATTGGTTTGCTAATCTTCTATATAAATAAAAATGTAAATGTTCGTTTGTTCAAAATGTTAAATCTCTGAAAGTTCTTCACAAATTGCTTTGAAATTTTGACACAACGTTGCATTCGAATATGCGCGTGTTTTTATATACCTACTATTATACAGATGTCACACCTGTGACAGGTAAAAACATGCTTTTTTTTAAAAAAAAACAGCACTGGCAAACCAGACAATCTTTATATCTGCACAATGGAACAACAAAAAATATTGTATACCCACAAGCATTGTGAAATTAAACATATTACAAATGTGCGCTTTCTCTTTTTTCTTTTCCATTTAACCAGACTGAGCCACAGCTGGGTACAGCTAGTGGCTGGGTACAGCTAGTGCCTAATAAAGTTACATTAGAGAACATAATGTCTCTGGTGTTTTGCTTTGTTGGGCTTCTCAGACGCAACTTACATTTTGTATGTTTACTGTGGTTGATGAAGAACAAAGACAATTAGAGTTTAGAAGTAACTAGGTTCTAGAAAGGTGAATTTTAGGATTTCAGAAAAAGATTTTATTGAATTGCCAAATATGTTAATAGTAATGCAAATACATAAATAGTAATATAATATATTCAGAGCTGACAACTAGAAGCATACGCTCTTAAGTTTTAATTTTTCAACAACCATCTTCTTCTTTCTTGGAAAGCAGCATATATTTACTCAATATGCAGCTACATATGCCTTGCCAGATGAAACATTACTGCAACTAAATAATAGCAAGATTATTTCTCTGTTGGGAAGTCTACTTTTATGAAAGAATAGGTTAAAGATCACTTGTTCTCACACAAAGTAAATCTATTTAAATTCTATATTTATGATTCAATGATCTGTTTTGTTGCCTCATTATTTCTTCTTTGCCAAACAAAAGATTTTTATTTTTGAGTTAATCATATCTAAATATACCAGTAAGCATGCCAAAAGGAATTTATGGAGTTTAGATCACTGAAAAAAAAAAACTCCAATTATTTATAGTTTTCCTACTTCAACTTCTACTTTATATTTTAATACATTGTACATCTGATAACACAGAATGTAATTTTTAGTATGAATACTTAGTTTTTAGCAATTACAAACTTTCCTGTAATTTTGTGTTGATATTTTGTAAGTGACTTTCTGCTCCTAAAATTCTTCGTGACTCCATCAGAAGTGCAGGAAGACTGGAAATGCCATACTATGGAACAGGAAGAGAAAAACAAGACATAGTTTAAAAGCTTATAAAATACTATGCCTGTGTTAGAAATTCCTAATATTTGGACCTAGCTTATTACTTGCTTTCTGAATTCATGTTCCCTTGCCTTTCCCATTACAAGTCAAACTGATACAACTCTACAATCCTTCTTTGCATATGCTCCTTCTATCACCTTAATGCCCTATCATATATATATATATATATATATATATATATATATATATATATATATATATATGTATGTATGTATGTATGTATGTATGTATGTATGTATGTATGTATGTATGTATATATATATGTATATATGTATATATGTATATATATATAAATTTTATTGATTTTTAAAAATTACAATCTTTAGAACTTAGTAAACAACATGTTGTCTGTGTTTACATATTTAACATTAACTTCTTCAATATAGATCTATTCAGTACTGTACACTCCAGAATTTTTTCTTCCTTGATCTTCCTTTCTCCCCCATACCTTTTCCCTTTTCCCCTCATTGAACAATTACAATTCTTAGTACTATTCATGTACACAAAATTAAATATAGATATCTTCATCATATTTTACTAATATTATAGAGATAACAATATCAATTCATAAATCAATATTCTGTTTTTCATGTTCTTATTAAAGTTTGATTTTCCATCAATATTTACAGTTTCTTTATCAGTTATGATTTTCTCAATATTATGTTTACATAACTAAAAAATTTTTTCATACCAATCCTTTTTTTCAAATTCCCCATATCAAAAGGGAAAAAATGCTATTTTAATTCTAAATATCTTCCATTATAAAAATCTAGTTATATATAAGTTATATATAATCATATTCAAACAGGTATATTAAACAGATAATGCCCCCTCTGATAAATCAAATCTTTTTTTTTAAGTCTAACTCTCGCTTACTTTCTTTGCCAAGTAGCTTTTCAGGCCAAGGCAATTAAATTGCCCCCAAATTTTATTTTTATGCAAGCTGCTTGGCATAAGAAAGGCAATTTAGGTAGAGTATTTTTTTTCGGGGGGGGGGGGGGAACTCTTGTCTATCCACATTTCCTAGACATTTCCCCTGCCTGCTCTATGTTCCATTTTAGGGATCTTTTATATTTACATTGTTATAGATAGGCCTTGCAGTATTTTATTTGTATATGGCAGTTCCTATTTCCTTTCTCTTATCTCCATCACTAGATCCATTTCTTCTGCTTCATCCTCTTATTTATGGTTTATTTGTTCATACTTTGTAGTCATTGTCTGGGAGCTGGTATTTGTTTTTTCTTGAGGCATCATTCCTAGAAATCCTCTAGTATCCTAAGTCTCAGTAAAAGTGGAACAAGATTTCTTCTAGTCTTCTGGTCTTTATATATAGCCTTTATAATCCAGTCCTAATAGCAATATTTTATAGTAATCCTTTGTCTCAAGTATCCTGAAAATTATCAGTCAGGCAAGGTTGTAATCCACAATGTTCGGAGGGTTCAAAATGTTCAACCTCCCTGCAGCCAGAGGTATTCAAAAGTCAATTTTTTCTTTCTCTCCCACTAGCTCTTGAGATTAAAAGTCCAAGAAGGTCAGGATGATAAATATGCCAAAATATTTTCCTTTATTTCCAGCTGTTTCTCCTTAGGCTGGAATTCACCAAGCAGCCAAGGAGCTATTTATAGTGCTGTACTCAAATCCACCACTAGATGTCATTCAAAGTCCATTTTCCACTCTTAAAAACAAAGGGTTGATTTCTTATATTTCACCTCAATCATTTTTCTTCCAAAGAGAAAATCTTAACAATTTATCTCAGTTATCAGATTTATAAAAACTGTAACTTTGTATTACTTTCACTTCAGTATTATGTATTTCAGTCCCCCATAAAAAATTTAAAACACCGCTTCCATTCACATCCAGAGGTTTTAAGCTTCCTGGGAGCCAATCCTAGGAAATTCAGTTGTAAAATAGTAAAGAAAGGATCAATATTCTCACCCAGTCCAAACTTGCTGTTTATGGTGTGCCAATTAAAGCTTTTGTTCTTCGATTGTCAGCAGCTAATGGCCGGCCGCAGGGGTGTGGCCAGTCTTTGCCTTGCCAGTTTAGAGAGCTTTCCTTGGATCGAATGGAGATTGCCATCTCTCCATGATCGACAAGGCACCCCTCCTTCTTCACTGCCTCTTCGGGGCAACTTTAGGCCCTTTTTAGGGCCCCTAGCAGGGCGAAATAGGATGTGAAGGCAGAGTCTTGCCTTCCTGTGTCTGTCTCATCGTGACACAAAACCAGAAATCAATGACCTATTATTTCTATTAGTGCTTCTAGGCACCTCTTTTTCTTGATGGCCTTTTCTTTCTTGTTCTGTCTTTTATTTTCATTCTTCGTAATTTTATGTCTATTTCCTCTGTTATTTGGGGGAATATTCTGATCTATATTTGAAAACCTGTTTTTGGAGAGCCAGTTTGATGTACTAGTTTAAGGCCCAAGCTAGAAACTAGGAGACCATGAATTCTAGTCTTGCTTTAGGCATAAAGCCAGCTGGTTGATTTTGGGCCGTTCTCTTTCAGCCCAAGAAGAGGGCAAGAGGAAATCACTTCCAAAAGGGATACCAAAAATAAATAAATAAAAAAAAAATAGCATGGACTTGTGCAGGCAATTGCTACAAGTCAAGACTGTTTTCATTTTCCCTGTCCTTGTAGTTAACAAACCATAATCCTGACATTTAAGATATATATGGGCTTATGATTAATGTCCATGCTGTTTTTGTGATGAAGGCCGATAGGCTACCCATATCTCAATTGTGTTTGTGGGCTATCTCTGACATGTACTTTTATGCATTTCTGAAAACAAAGCCTTATCATAATACACAACACTATATTTTATTCAAATGTTTTTATTTTTTTTAATTTAGTATCCTTGAATCTGAGAACTCTGGAGCTACTACAAGGCTTGTTGTATTCTTAGTTTCAGGAGAATATAAGCATCATCCTGCATAGAGCTTAAGACCTTTACCAGAATGTTAATAAAGTTTTAATAAAAATTATCTGCCTTATTTATACTTGTATGCGTTATTGGATATATCAATATTCCCCATGTCTGTAGAACTTTCCTAACTTCCTAAACTTGGATTTCTGGCAAGGTTAAGAAGCTGTTAATAATGTTTAATTCCTCAACAACCATTTTTAAGGAACCTAAACTAGACTCTGCACATTTACACACCAGTAATAAAAAGTTACTGCACTCCATCTATGAAAACATTATTGTACTCAAATGAAATGAGATGAAGAATTTTACATTTATCTAAGACTGATAAAACTTAAAAGCTAACCACAAAAATAATCAATATGCCACTTGCTTTTCCAAATCAAATATGATTATATCAATACTATATATTCCCATTAAGAATATTGTCAGATATATCATTATATATAACAGATGGTTATACAAAAATAAAGGTTGCTTTGAGAGTTATTCTGCATGGATCATGAAGGAGTGCATAAATTTCAATACTGAATATTGAAATGTGTACCATTTATATTAAAAAGGTTATTTTTTCAGATACAGGTAGTTCTTGAGTTATGATAGCAATGGGAATAGAAATTAATGTTGCTAAGTGATGCGATTATAAAGGGCGACATCAATCCCAGTTGCTGTCATAACCCTAGGATGCATGGATCATTAAGCAGGAAGAAGTGGGAGTCCCAGGAAAGGATGCCATAGGGTCAGATGCCACTTGAGGCTATGGAGGAGCTGTGGTGTGAAGTGCAGATGGGCAAGGAGTGCTATTGTGTATGAGATCCCTTCTTTTTGGGAGAAAAATATAGGGGAGTAACCTATGGGGGGTTACTTGTGACCTATCCTGCTAACTTCTCCACTGATTTTGCTTGTCAAAAGCCAATAGGAAAAACTGCAAATGGCAATCTTGTGAGTGGCTCTTTGCAACATCATAGTCACCTGTGGGTTCACTGCAACATCCAGAACTAGGACAATTGTTAAGTCCATCTTTTTCACTGTAATTTTGAACAGTCTATGAAAAAACTGACATAAGCTGAGTACTATATGTACTTGAAAATGATGCCAGGGATGGAGAATCATGGCATGATTATCTTTTTTCACACAGATAAGTCTCTATTGAAGCATACCCCAAATATCTGGAAAAATTACATCTCTTAGGAACAATACAATCATCAGTATTTGTTATCTGAAATATGCAAGGGTTAGTATTTAAAAGATAAGGAGCAGTAGCTACAGCTGTGATACTTCTAGTATGCTAAGCCATTAAACAGTTACTTACTACTAGTTTTTCTTGTGAGTTTTCCTTTTCATCCTTCATTTGCTGAAGACTCTTTAAATCTTTAATAAATTGAACTGCATTCCTGAGACAAGACATTTTTTCTTGCAGTTTGCTGTATTCTTTCTTTAGTTTCTTCAGTTCTAGTTCATTTCTAGCAAAAATAAATGTTTGAGCATTATGTTTTGTTAAGGTTTCCTTTTATTTTACAGAAAACTGTTTACATAACTGAACGAGCAGGGTGATAAGCTAAACTATCACACAGCAAGAGGGTAATCAATATTTGATTCAGCCCTGATAAAAATAAGGGGATACATCGACTTACTGCATCAATATAAAATCTAATTGGAAATCCACTTTTTAAGTCAGGGTGAACAACTCTTTGGTAGCATTTTTTTTCCTTCATTGGTTGAAGAACATAGGACACTCTTGGTGACACTGGAAGGGATAGGATAGATGTTCTGGGTGTTTTGCAGTGTGAGATACTCTATATTAGTAGTGCAATTTCAGATAGTTGGGGTGTATGTGTCGAATTTAAATTATTTATCTCTCAGAGACCTACTATTTTATGTTTGTGTTAATTTTTGAAAAGTAAAAATACTGCTTACGATGGAAAGGAATGAATCTTGCCAGATGAGAAACTATTAATACTGTTTGAAACCTGTTTGGAGGAAGCATCTGGAATTTAAGTAATACTCCTCTTTTAGTTTTGAAAAAAATCTTTACCACATTCAGTGCAGCTTCAGTTTTCTGATGCATTTGATTTAATGCAGCATAGTTGTTATAGGACATCTGAAATAAATACCAATCAGTTGGAGCTAATGAAATATGTGCTGGAGCAGGGAAAATGAATGTATCACTGGATTAGCACAAAACAGGATTGTAGGATTCAGTGATAACTGTATCTAAAACTTAATTGCAAAGTTATTAACATACCTAAATAAGTCTCCTTTAATTTCTATTAAACGTTTTCTTTTCTTATTTGTCTTTCTGACCATCTGAAATGCCAGAAAATAAATATTAAATATGAAAATCCTTAATAGTTTTACCTTTTTAAAATAAGTTTTATTAATCTTTTTAAAATTACAATCTTTAGAGCTTAGTAAACAACATGTTGTCTAGGTTCACATATTTAACATTATCTTCTTCAATATAAGTCTATTCAGTACTGCACAATCCAGTATTTTTTTCCTTGATCTTCCTTTCTTCCCCACATTTTTTCCTTTTCCACTCATTAAACAATTACAATTCTTAATGCTATTGATGTATACAAAATTAGATACAGAAATCTTCATCACATTTTACTAATATTATAGAAGTAACAATAATATCAATTCATAAGTCAATATCCTGTTTTTCGTGCCCTTGTTAAGGTTTGATTTGTCATCAATATTTAAAGTATCTTTGTCAATTATGATTTTCTCAATATTAATTACATTTATATCACTAAAAATTTTTTTATTCATACCAATCCTGCTATTTTCAAATTTCCCATATCAAAAGAAGAAAAAAAGTGCTATTTTAATTCTAAATCATATCTTCCATTATAACAATCTAGTTATATGTAAGGGTCATCCATTCTTTTAATCATATACAAACCGGTATGTTAAACATATAGTGCCCCCTCTGATAGATTTAATCCTCTGTTTTTTAAGTCTAACTCTCGCTTTCTTTCTTTGCCAAGCAGCTTTCCAGGCCAAGGCAATTAAATCGCCCAAGAATTTTCTTTCTATTTTTGTGCAAGCTGCTTGGCATGAGAAAGACAATTTAGTATTTTGGGGGAGGAATTCCACCCATCCACATTCCCTAGACATTTCCCTTGCCCGCTCTATGTTCCATTTTCTCGAATCTTCTTCCTTGTCATCAGGTGTATTTTGAAGAAAGGAGTATTTTGTATTTTCATTGTTATAGGTAGGTCTTGAAGTATTTTGTGTATGGCAGTCCACATTTCCCTTTCCTTATTTCCTCCATCTCTAGATCTATTTCTTCTGCTTCACCTTCTGATTTCTGGTTTATTTGTTCATACTTTATAGTCGTTGTCCAGGAGCTTTCCAGTTGTAGCTTCAATTTGAAGATTTGGTCCTTTATATCATCTAGATTATTTTTAGTCTCGTTATGGTTTCTTTTTATGTCCTGTGTGTGTGCAAGAATTGTTTGATGAATTTGTTGTAGCACAGAGAGTATTACCTTCTGAAAGGTATTTTTTTTTTCTTGAGGCATCATTCCTAGAAATCCTCTAGTATCACCATTCTCAGTAAGAATGGAACATGATTTCTTCTAGTTTTCTGGTCTTTATATATAGCCTTTATAATCCAGTCCTAATAGCAATATTTTATAGTAATCCTCTGTCTCAAGTATCCTGAAAATTATCAGTCAGGCAAGGTTGTAATCCACAATGTTCCGAGGGTTCAAAATGTTCAACCTCCCTGCAGCCAGACATATTCAAAAGTCATTTTTTTCTTTCTCTCCCACTAGCTCTTGAGATTAAAAGTCCAAGGTCAGGATGATAAATATGCCAAAATATTTTTCTTTATTGCCAGCTGTTCTCCCTTAGGCTGAAATTCCCCAAGCAACCAAGGAGCTATTTATAGTGCTGTACTCAAATCCACCACTAGATGTCATTCAAAGTCCATTTTCCACTCTTAAAAACAAAGGGTTGATTTCTTATATTTCACCTCAATCATTTTTTTTTCCAAAGAGAAAATCTGAACAATTTATCTGTTATCAGATTTATCAAAACTGTAGCTTTGTATTACTTCCACTTCAGTATTATGTATTTCAGTCCCCCATAAAAAATTTAAAACACCGCTTTCATTCACATCCGGAGGTTTTAAGCTTCTTGGGAGCCTTTCCCAGGAAATTCAAATTGTAAAATAGTAAAGAAAGGATTAGTATTCTCACCCAGTCCAAACATGCTGTTTATGATGTGCTAATTAAAAGCTTTTGTTCTTCGATTGTCAGTAACTAATGGCCAGCTGCAGAGATGTGGCTGGTGTTTCCCCTGCCGGTTTAGAGGGCTTTCCTTGGATTGAATGGAGAGATCGCCGTCTCTCCGTGATCGCCAAGGCACCCCTCCTTTTCATAACCTCTTCGGGGCGACTTTAGGCCCTTTTCAGGGCCCCCAACAGAGCAAAATCGGGTGTGGAAGGCAGAGCTCTGCCTTCCTGCGTCCCATCTCACTGTGACGCAAAACCAGAAGTTCCTTAATAGTTTTACCTTTTGATACTGCATATCACTGCTATTACTTCTTTAAAATACAGGTAATCTTGACTTACAACTAGTCGCTTAGCCACCATTAGAAATTCCAATAGACCTACTTAAGGATACTTATGATGTGAATTCAAAGTTCCGATGCTTCCTCGCGGAGTCATGTGACTGTACTTCAGGAGCTCAGCAACCAGCCCACATTTACAGCACCCCCGGTCAAATGATCATGTTTTACAACGATTTTGCCAAAAACTACATTTATTTTTAGTTTTCAGCAAAACTGCACCCATAGTAAACCACCGGTTCACTTAATGCCTGTGCTATTTGCTTAATGACAACAGTGGTTCAGTTAATGACAATGGCAAAAAGGTTTCTGAACTTGAGTCAGTCACTTTACAATTGTGATGGGCAGGATCCTTTAAGGTTGTATCTCAAGGACTATCTGTATAGACATATTGTTTATTATAAAATTTAATCCAAGTTAGAATCTTGTGAAGAAGCAGGAAGTATTTGGAACATAATTTCAATACTCTTCCTTGATCAACTTAATCAACTGTAGGTATCCTTACCACTGAAATCCCTTCAGGTATAATTTAACTGCTTATGTAATGGGGATAAGATTATTTATTTAAAATATTTATATTCTGTCTAATAATAAAGAAAAATAAGATTACAACCTACATGTGCATAGTTCTAAATAAAAATGTACCACACTGTGCTTAACATTATATAAAGCCAAAATCATAGATAGCAATTCATCAACTTTATTAAAATCACTAACAGTAGCATTCCTCAAAATATTCACATTGAAGCCGATTACCAAGGATTATTGGTAAAACTAAGTGCATTTTCATAGGCAGAGTATTTTAAAATTTAAGTGTGACCATTAGGTGAAAAATAACCCTTTCTGGAATCAACAGAATTTTACAACATTAAGTACAGGTCGTCCTCAACCTACAAGAAGTCATTTATTGACCCTTCAAAGTTACAATGGCACTGAAAAAAGTGATACGTTTTTCACATACTTCTCCATGATCGCGTGATCAAAATTCAGATGCTTGGTAATTGACTCATATTTATAATGGTTGCCGTGTCCTGGGGTCATGTGACCACTTTTGCGACCTTCTGACAAGCAAAGTCAATCGGGAAGCCAGATTCACTTAACAACTGTGTTGCTAACAATTGCAGTGATTCAGTTAACAACTGTGGCAAGAAAAGTCATAAAATGGGGCAAAACTCACTTAACAAATGTCTCATTTAGCAACAGAAATTTTGGGCTCAATTGTGGTCATAAGTTGAGGACTACCTGTTTATACATATAGAACTGAGCAAATTAGTATGCATAAAGCCTTCAGTTTATATTAAAGTCATAGACAGAATATATTCTATCTAGCTACTAATCTGAATTAATGAAATTTCGTATTATTACATCCTATTCCTTTAAATATTGTCCACTAAAAGCTAGTTTTTAATTTGTTGGAAGAAAATCTATATAGTTTAAAAGAAGATACACTGGCCACTTTACCTTTGTTTGTTTCAATTTTATATTTTTCAGTTTCTCAGCATCTGCAGACTAATTAAAATATTCACAAATTAATAATATGGCATAACTTCTTGGTAAATAATTACAATAAATACCTAAGATTGAAATTAGTAAAATTCATATTTTCTAATAACCAGAATCTAAGAAGGTTATTTAATTCAAGAAATAATAATTTTAAATGTTTTTGGATTTTTACATATACATATCTGATTTTATCTTTTTTCAGATTCTATCTAAATGGGAATTAAAGTGATAGGATCTGGCTGGATATAATGCATAGGAGCAGAAGACAGTATGGGTAATTAAGAGAACTGTTACACATAAAAACACTGCAATTGACTTTTTTCTCCTACCTGGATGCTTTCCAAATTTTCAGTTTATTATTCTAACATAGTGTTATATCATGGACTGTTCCAATTCCAATGACCTGCTGTATAAAATTCCTAAGCACTTTACTTACTCCCCCTCCCAGATACATTTAATTACCATTCCTTTTCTACTAAAGGGTCTGTAGGTTATTTTGGTGATTCATCTTTAATTACTGCCCCTGTAACACTTACAAAATACAGAATTTTCCTCAGTCAAAACCTGTACGTACAATGTCGGTGAGTTCATCTTTGAGCCTGGTATGAAATTTATCAATTACGTTTTTATACTTCTCCTGTTTCACTTCTTTTCTGAAACAATATATACAATATATATCACGATAAATCTATGCTTAAATGGACACATTAAACTAATCTGTACATGCAGTGGTGCAAATTGTTATTGAATTTTATCCTACTAATGGTTGATACTTAGACAGCAATGCCAAATACCTAACATTTTCCTGTTAAACAATATTATAACTTACAATGCTGAAAAATTTTAAATTATCGTTCTTGGGTTTGTACTTTTGCTACTAGTCAGCATGTTTAGTATAATAATTCTGATATCACGTAACTGCTGCTGCCTTCTGGGTTGTTGTTTTTTTTTTCAAATTTCCCAGCTTTCATGCAGTCCTGATATTCTTTGACAGTCTCCTATCAAAGTAGTGACGAGGCCCAAGCCTGCTTAAACCCTCTTCAGCATCCAGAATAATGATGATAAAAATATTATTTTAAATATAACAATTTGCTATGACACATATTTTTTCAGAAAAAAAACTATTATTTAAAGTAGTTCTTTTATTATGTTTTTACAATATCTCCAAACACCACAACAGCACTGATTCCAATTTAGAAAAGCGAAAAAGCAGATTGAATGATAAGGGACATTTAACATCATAACAGAGTTTTCAGTCATAAGGAAATTCTCAATCAAAAGAAAAGATGCTTACTTGAATTCTGTTGTTATCTTTTCAAGCTCCTTCAAAACAACTTTTTCCTTGGTAACATGTCTGGTAACTTTGGTTGGCTGCTTTGGAACTTTTTTTGAAACTAAATGAAGTGAAAAACAGAGTATTAATACATTTGGTTATTATGGGTCCAAACCTATCTAAGTTTCCCAAAGATACACAATTTAAACTGATGCATATGAAATGCTAAGTCCTACAGTTTTACTCAGTTACTATAAAAATCAAGATCAGCAGGTCTGATACTACACACAGAAGTGAAAAATTATTCTAGAGCCGAGGAGAAAGGAAAAATTATTTACCTGGACAATGTGTCTCCCCTTCTGGTAAAACATTCTTATTTACATGGGATTGAGTCTTTTTTTTGGGTATCTATTAGGTCAAAGTTAAGGAACATATTAGTTGCTAGCAACCTACGTTATTTCATTTGGCAGGCACAGCTTTTGTCAAACTATAAACTTTGTCTAGATGTACACTGCTTAAAATTTTAGTTAATTTTCATAACGCCTATAGTAAGTACAAGGAATATACTATCAGAGTACGCTTATATACTTCTTTGTAATAACATCCCATTAACTTTGAATACTCTATAGCTGCACAGCAGCAAAAATAAATTTAAAAAAATATTTTTACAACTAGTGGCCACTTTTAATGATAATGTGGTTTTTAATAATCACTGAAATATGTGCTAATTGTTTCATTTTTATAATACAGTTTTATAACTGATATGGGACAGATTTTTTTTATAAAAAACTTTTAAAGATATACCGATCAACAAAACATTAAAACCAATTAAATAAGACTTCTCCTAGAAAGTGGGAAAGTTTCTTAGAAATTATTTATATAAAGGTAATTATTAGGAATTACTATGCTGAAATAAAGGTAAAGAAATATTAATAAAATAATATTAAAGGATTCTTTAAGAATCTTTGTTTTGTCTATTTTTTTAATCAATGTGATTTCCTATATCAATTACCTGTTAGCAAATACTAATTGTTTATTTTCCTAGGACATATAAAATGTTGCAAGACCCATTTTTTTCGTATTAGCTGCCAGATTACTTAACAAAACATGCAGGGAAACTAAATTGTATGTTTTTTAATTAATGGTATTTAAAATAGAATTTGTAATTTTGCCAAAATCTATTATTTAATTTGATATCTTACATTCTAAGTATTTCTTAATGATCAGTTTGAAGATTTCTGCAATGTATGTAAATTTTGCTGAGCTGTGTTGAAAATTATTTAGGAATTATTTTAATCATTTTTATATATTCACTAATTTTTACTAGTATAAGAAAAATTCTTCAAGTTATATGAAATGTATACAAAATATGCAGAAAATCATGCAGAATAAGAAATGGATTATATAAAAGAACTTCATGTTATCACTGCATACAATTTATTATAATTAAAACTGAACCTCTTTAAGTAGCTATCTCTGTTGAGCACATAAACATAAGTAACCTATACAATAGTATCCTAATTATATTACTAATGTCACCTGTACAATAGACACTGTAACAAAGTCTAGAAGTATTCAGATTCATAATTAAAAACCTATGGCTATCAGCTCATAAAAACTATTTTATCATTCATGGATTCAGGAAAATATGAGACCATTCAGATTAGCGCTATCAGGACAAGTGAACATTAAAAACAGAAATAGGCTGTAACATATGGTGACTGCAAGGAAATGGTACATAATACCACATACAGTCAACAAATGACACTGTAGATAATATTTCACTGCAGGGAATCTATCAAATTTTGAACATAAGAAACAGTATGTTTAAAAAAAACAATTACAAAAATAACAAATTATAGGAAATTTCAACTTAAAAACAATTAAATTGGTCTAGCTTGTAGTTTTGAGTCATGTAATTTTAATTTTTATCCAATTGTATATACAATTGAGATTGAAAATAAATGTAAATTATTGTATGTTTCAAAACATCTGCCTATAACAGATTGTATTTTACTCCCAATAAAAAGGAAAAAGTATTCTAAACCTTTTACTTACCATGTTCTTTACTGAAGATTCCTCTTCTGAATCTTCAGTTCTCATCACTGTTTTCAGAATGCGAGTTTTTCTGATAAACATAAAAATATTACAGTATATTTTATCATGGAATTTTAAACACTGGAATGGAAACTTGTTAGAATCTTTTTTTGCAGCATTATATTGACTAAATAATTTCACTGATGGGCCAAAGAGATCCATATGCTATTTCCAGATAAAGATTTACAGTTAAAAATAACAAGTCAGCAACATAATTAGTAGTGATAAAATATGGAAATTCAATGGTACATATGCCATACTGAAAAAAGAAAATGTGGTCACAAATGTGCATTCATCAGGGATTAAATTTAGTTATACTGAACAAACAAATATAGAAGTACATTATGAAATGTAAGGGTTGGATTACACAGCAATTAGACTCAAATGGACAGATAGAGCATAGAAGAGAGGTTCCCAAACTTACAAGCCAGACATACCTCTCCAGCCAATTATATCTACAATCTATAACTTTACCAAAAAACTGACACATAAATTTGTACACCTCACAGAAGTAAACACTCCATCAAATCCTGACTATAGCGCAGTGGTTCTCAACCTGTGGGTCGGGACCCCATTTGGGGTCAAAAGACCATTTCAGGGGGGTCGCCAAACAACGCAGTCCGCCATTTTCCCCCCCTTTTCCTTAGCTGTGCTACTCCCTTTTATTCTATTGGCTTTTGAAAGCCAATAGAATAGACTCTCTTGAATAGAGTCTAATTCTATTGGCTTTCAAAAGCCAATAGGAATTGTCCAGGCTGTCTCTGCCCTGCTGAGCCCGCCAAAAGTCCCATTCTGCAAACGGTGCTGCACCAGTTGAGTAGTCCTCGACTTACGACCGGTTGAGTAGTCCTCGACTTACGACCGGTTGAGTAGTCCTCGACTTACGACCGGTTGAGTAGTCCTCGACGTATGACCGGTTGGGGGGCGGTCGCGGCATTAAAAAGGTTGAGAACCACTGCTATAGCGCCTCCAAAGGATCAAAAGACCTGACCATAGATGAAGATGAAATTATGGTCTCATTTGATGTTATAGCACTCTTCATTTCTATAGACCCAGACCTAGCAAAAAGAAACCAAGACAGCTACCCAATCTAACCAACTATACCAAGATTGAAATACCCAGAATCACGGTTCTTATCAATCTTTGCCTGATCACATACTTTCAGTTGAATGGACAAATATATCAATTCAAAGGAACTCCTATGGGATCACCACTTTCAGGACTCATAACTGAGCCCATAATGCAATGCCTGAAATCTATAGCACTCCCAACTAGAGAAAACACATGAAACTATGATTCAAAATTTATTTTATTAAAAAAAACGATTAAAATGCCAAAAAAGTAAAAAATAGAAAAAAGGCAACCCCCCCCCCAAAATAAACAAGACATTGAAAAAGAAAAACACCTATATACATATTATTCCTCCTTAGCTGAATACGGATTAATACATTAGTAAAAATTAATTTCTCGCCCCTTGCTAAATAGGCCCCAAAGATTTTAAACTATCAAATCCATTTGCAAAAGGAATGTAAGGGTTTTAGATTCCTTTTCTGAATCTAATTCCAGAACATGACTCTGAATATTTTTTCACAGCTATTATCATTTCATCAAACTTTTTAAAGAAGCTTTCAATTAAAAATTATATGTTACCAAACGGTCTTTTTAGCCAGCTCTGTTCATTTGTAATTCAATGCATTGTTGGTCTATATAAGTTAGACAAGAAACAAAAAACACTAAAGCAAAGTGAAGAAATAAATTAAAGGAACAGGGAAGATATTTTCTACATATGCCAATCCAAAGTTAAATTTTTTTAAAAAATACCCCTCCAAATATTTTGCAAGTTAATAAAATATAAAAAACCTGTGATAAAATTCTAATATTGATGTAATTCAAATAAAAGTATTTCACCATCTAAGGACATGTCATGTTTCCATACAGAAATGCAACAGTTATTTAAGACAACATAAATCAAAAGGAGGAAAAAAGAAAGATAAAATCCAGGAAGAGGTTAAAGAAGGTCAGCATTCAATCAGCCAGTCAACTTTTAAAGACAAAAATCAAAGTAAAGCAATACATTCAAAATTCAAAAAGTGAAAGTTAATACCCAGGCTTGCTTAGAAACTGAAATGCTGAAAGGAAGATGGATGCTCTAACTTTCTGACCGCTCCCAAAGGGAATTGAAATCTTCAAGACTCCCCTTCCCAGATGGTTCCATACCGTCCAAACTCATCTAGGTCATTCCTAAGTGCTCCCATTCAAATCCAGGGAGCAGTACTGCCAGAGAACCAGTTCTGGCAGTAAAATCAGCAGATAGTCAGTAGGAAAAGAGTTCCTAACATTCAGGTGCCATCTTGGGAGGTGTCATAACATACGAAACTATCAACAACATCTTCAAAGAAATAACATTCACCAGGAAGAAACAACAACAAACAACAATATCTTTGCTAGATATCCTCCTAAGCAGAAACACTGATGGCAAGTTAAAAACATAATTCCATTATCAATCTATCCACACCAGCCTAGTGCTCCCTTACCTAAGCAACAACCTAACTTCCTACAAGAGAAACTACATATGACCACTATTCAGAGAAACACAAGCACAGGCAGCAATGCTGAACATCAGAAAAAGGAAACAGAGCATCCAGTGTCTTCCAACAAAATGAATACCCACAAGTTTATCAAAAAAAAGCTGACCATTCAACCTACCATAGGGCAACCAACACAAGCTGCAAGTAAATGATAATATTGAAATACATCAAAAACATCTCAGAAACCACCAACAAACTATTACAGGGCTTTTCAACCAGTGGTATGGGCACCACCTGTGGTACATTGGCACTTGGCAGGTGGTACGCAACCATCCTAGAAAAGTGGTAGCAAGGGAGGGAATGAGCTGAACCAGTGGCAGCACCGCACAAGCCTGAGTGAGAGACGGCTGGAGCTGCAGGGCTGTCAGGGCTGAGTGGAAGCGCCGGGATCAGTGCTGCTTTCCAGCTGATCAGCGCTTCTTCGGGGCTACCGGGGCTCAGTGGAAGCGCCAGGATCAGCGCCAGGCTCCACCTGGAGCTCGGCACTGATCCTGGTGCTTCTGCTGAGCCCTGAAGAAGCACCAATCACCTGGAAAGCAGCACTGATCCTGGCACTTCTGTTGAGCCCAGAAGAAGCGCCGATCAGCCGGAATGTTGCAGCATCTCCAGGGTCTTGTGATTTACATTCAGATGCTTGGCAACTGATTCATATTTATGACGGTCACAGTATCCCACGGTCATGTGAAGTGACCAAAACCTGCTGCAACCACCCAGCAGACAGGGGGAATAAAAACCAAACACCTTCACCCCACCCCCACTGCCAATCCTCAACAGAAATGCTCACAACAATGAAAACCTCGGACAGGAGGAAGAGCGCGGCCAGGCGAGCAGGCAGATGTCTTGCTCGGCTGTGGCTTGGGGGGCACTTTTTTCAGTGCCATTGTAACTTCGAACAGTCACTAAGCAAACTGTTGTAAGTCGAGGACTACCTGCACTTTTTTCTTTTGGTCATCAAGTTTTTGACACCTTCCTAGGCGTCTGATGGTACCTGGATGTTGCCATATCCTAAAAGTGGTACAATGGGTGAAAAGGTTGAAAAGCCCTGGACTATTACAACTATATGACATCACTGTATCACATAAACCAACTAAAGCCCTCCCAAAACATCCTAAGTAAATAAACCAAAAGCCCCAGCAGCCACAGAAGAAATAAAACAGGAATCTCTCTACAACAAACACTGTAAGGATTGTAACAGCCACTATTTAGGACAAACAGGCAGAAAAGTAGCACAGCACATTTACAAATATCCACTAGCAATCAGAAGATATGATGAAAACTCCTTAATTTTATAACACATGGACATACTCAACCATAGTTTCAACTGGGAAACTATGAGCATCCTAGATCAAGCACCAGAGAATTCCTGGAGCCCTGGCACTCAAACAAATCAGCCATCAATAGGCACATATAGATAAACAAAATCTATATACCACTCAAAAGAGATAATCAAAAAGCTCCAAAGGAAAAGATCAAAACAACACATCACCCGTAATCAACACCCATACAAGCAGAGATTAACACCAAGATTAACCCTAGGGCCTAGACCAGGGGTAGGCAACCTTGGCTCTTTTATGACTCGTGGACTTCACAAGTCATAAAAGAGCCAAGTTTGCCTACCTCTGGCCTAGACCAACAATCAAGTAACAATACTCCAACCAAGGAATTATCAATGCAGACAAACAAGCTAACAGTAAAAAACAGCCTAATCAAGGAACCTTCAAAAACATTCCCACCAACACTGACAATGCAAACCACTAGTACAGAGTTGTCCAACCTTTTTGGCTTTGCGAACCGGCGGAGGGAGGAGAAGGGATGATTCCATGCTAGCTGTGGGCAAGCGTGCACAGCTCCATTTGTTCAAGTGGTGAGCTCATGCTCTACTCCTCATTCAAATGGAGCACATATGCGCTTGCCTGCTGCTTCCATGGCCCAGTTCTGAATAGCTCACAGCCTAGTAGTGGGCCGCAGCCTGGGGGCTGGGGACCTCTGCACTAGTATATAAAAATAAGATCAAACTCCACTCCCTCCTTGCACTGATGTTACCTAGTTGGGTAATGAAAAGTCTGCAAGAAAACCACCAAGCTCAGAGAGCACCAATAACTTTGGGCAGTTAATGTCATATAAAAATGTACCAATACACATAAAAAACAATATAAAATGACAACCTAGATTAAAAAAATTCAGAACTATCAGAACAACTATGTCTCAGCTCTAACTAACCATCTGACTCCCATGCCCAGGAACAAATCCAAGTCTTCAAGGTTTTCCGAAAAGCTGGCATGCAAAAAGTCCAAAATCTTCTGGCTTTTGTGAGAAAATCAAATCCTGAGGAAGTGGCCAGAAATGCCACCTTTGGGACTCTATTGTAAGAACTAAATATTTGGTAGTGATGATACAGAGGAAGTACAAAAGGTTAAACAAGATTTTACTGCCTTCACAACTGTAATTTAAGAAAATGGTTATGCTAATGAGAGATGTGCAAAACTTGGACCCTGTCTGACTCAAAAAGTATAAATGTTTTAAAGAAAAAGCAGTACATTTGGAACATACAGAGAAGCAACGATTATAAAGAAAACATGTTGGTAAGAAGTCTTATCTATGTAGAGACCAAACTCAAAGCCAATTCAAAAGCACCAAAAATAAAGAATATAATTGATTCTTTAACTTGATATTTGTATTTTACTAGGAATTTTAGAATGAAGTATTAAATGTGCTCAAAACACTTCTCTATTTGGATAACATAGCTTCAATGAAGTTATATAAGTGATTAATAGCTGGATTAAGTTAGCAGAGCTGGACACACTAATAAATTCATGTGCACATAGAAAATCAGTCTAGAGAAAATAAACTTATTTTTGGAATACCTTTTCTTTGCATTTTTCTTTGGGGACTCTGGATCAGAGAAATTGCTGGCAGACTCATTCAGTGTTGAATATTGATCGTTCCCATTATTAGCCTCTTCTTCCTCCTCGTACACAGATAGAGCAGTGCTATGTAAAGGATGATCTAGGATGAAAAAGTACTAATTAACTATAACAATGTAAAAGACCCTGCATGTCTTATCACAGAAAATCTCAAAACAATAGTTTTTGTGTGAAATGCATGAAGCAGTTTCACTCAAGAGAAAGACATTAGGAAGAGGGGAAAAAACACCAAGATGCAATAAGCCTTGTACAAAAGTGTTTGGTAACTATAGTTCTTTGAAGCAATCACACAGAACAAGATACCATGAAAGGCTGATATCCCACCTTTATTTTTCTAGGGTTCTAACTTAGTTTGGTCCACTAGACATTGAGCAAGTAGCAATGCCTGGTCATATGAAAGTGAGAATATAATTTTTAGCCCTCAGTGTAATATACCTGACATAGCTGGCAGGATTTAAGAGTAGGCATTAGGACAAATTAATGGAAGAAAATGTTTATGCTGATGAGAGATGTAAAACTTATCATCTCTTATAAAATTTGGACCCTGTCCCAAGAGTATGTCCTGGAATAAAGCAAACAAAAATTTTATCAATAAAAGGTATTGCTAATATGAGCATTTGACATAGGATAGTCTTGAGGCGAGATGGGTGGCAAATAAATTTAAACAACAAACAAACAAATAAAAAATAAAGGTGGTATCTGCCATGCCTGTTTCTGTGAAAAAAGGGAGTGTGGAATTAGGGAAGGGAGGGCAGTAGGCTCAGGAAACTGCTGTTCAGTCTGGCATTCACACAAGAATTCCAGAGACTAGACACTGAGCTGTTTACAGCCAACAATGATGACCTGTTTAATATAGGCAGCTCCACCAGCCTTGTGAAAAGCACTACTTGCACAGTTGGGACCTACTCAAAGTTTTCCAAAGGGAGAGATGTCTTTGAACAACTGAAAGATGTACAAAGCAATGACCAAGAAATAGCATCTGTGTGGCCAGTGCTCAACTTCCAAATTAGCAAAATTTGACATACTTCATTGGATAGTTTTGCAATAACGCTAATGTTAATTTTTAATATCACATTTGGGTATATTATTTAAAATTCTTTGTTGTAAAACACAGCAATTTCTTTTATTATTCAATTGCTTATTAATGCTAAAGCTAATCCAGATGCTGTAGCTATCTTGGTAGGATTTTATATTTGATCTTTCTGTATCCATAAAATTAAATAAGTATATTTATAAAAATGTACTAGACATTATAATATACATGTAATAATAATAATAATAATAATAATAATAATAATAATAATAATAATGAAGTTGGGAGGGACCTTGGAGGTCATCTAGTCCAACCCCCTGCTCAGGCAGGAAACCCTATACTATTTCAGACAAATGGCTGTCCAGTCTCTTCTTAAAAACTTCCAGTGTTGGAGCATTCACAGCTTCTGGAGGCAGGTTGTTCCACTGATTAATTGTTCTAAAAGTCAGAAATTTTCTCCTTAGTTCTAGGTTGCTTCTCTCTTTGGTTAGTTTCCATCTGTTGCTTCTTGTCCTGCCTTCAGGCGCTTTGGAGAATAGATTGACTCTCTCTTCTTTGTGGCAGCCCCTGAGATATTGGAACACTGCTATCATGTCTCCCCATGTCCTTCTCTTCATTAGACTATAGTCTAGACATACCCAATTCCAGCAACCGTTCCTTATATGTTTTAGCCTCCAGTCCCCTGATCATCTTTGTTGCTCTTCTCTGTGCTCTTTCTAGAGTCTCAACATCTTTTTTACATCGTGGTGACCAAAACTGGATGCAGTATTCCTAACATACTGCATCCAAAACTGGATGCAGTATGTATTTTATATTTATTTAACTTGCTTATTGGAAATGTAACACAATCATATTTTTATTCTGCATTTATTCAATCTACACACATCTCAGAACAATTGCTATCTACAAATTGCAGTTGGGAATAATATCTTATATTTATTCATTACAACTATTTTTACATTACCAGCTCAGCATAATTCCTGGTCACTTACAATAAATATAAAATCCAACATCAGTAAGCAAAAATAATAATTCAGAGTGCAGATGGCTACCCAATGTGCCAATCAGAAAGCAGACCATTCTAATAACTATGTATGAATGTCTTAAAATGTTACAGACAATAACTAACCAAATAAGTCATCAGTTTCCTCTGTTTGTCCGGTTCTAGGAATTTTCAAAATACTTGAGACATCAGGCTCCTCAGATGAAAACAGTTTACCCTGGGAGTCTGGCTTGGCTTGATATCCCTGCAAGGAAACAGATTATTTATTTATTCAGTTTATACGCTACCATTTCACCTGCAGGTAACTTTAGGCAATTATTTAAAAAGTGATAAAAACATTAATGCATCACACTAATAAATAGTAATATTAAATTAGCTTAACATTCACAAAGATGGGGAGAGGGAGCAGAATGCATGGGGGGGTTGTCTTATCAAGGTCTGTTAACCACCTCAAGGATTATATGTCCCCATTGGGCTTCCATGCCAGTTAGCACAGCCAAGTCTTCATATACTTTTGGAAGGCCAAAAGGGTGGATATAGATCTCACCTCAGAAGTCATGATGTTATAAAGGCTAAGAACCACAGCAGAAAATGCTTTTTTCCTGGACCCAGCCAGCCAGACTTCCTTGACTAATAGGTCTGTAGCATTCCCTTTCTACTGGGTAAGTGGGGTGGGGGCAATCCCATTGGTGTAAGATGGTTCTTTAGGCAACCTGGATCCATGCCATGGAAGGCTTTAAAGTGATAACCAACATCTTGAATTGAACCTAGAAACAAACTGGCAACTGGTAATACAGGCCACCCTAGGGGCCCAAGAACTGTCTACAAGATAGCATTCTGTGCCAGCTGTAATTTCCAAATACTCTTCAAGTAGCCCCATGTACAGCATGTTGCAATAGTCCAAGTGTGAGATGACCAGGGCTTGAGTGACTGAGTGCAGGAACTTCCAAAGCAGGAAAGGACCAGCTGTCACACAATCCAAAGTTGCACAAAGGGTCTCAAAGCCACGACTGCCACCTGCTCTTTAAGCAGGAATTGTAAATCTAGGAGAATCCACAAGTTGCACACTGGGTCTATCTGGGGTAATATAACTCCATCCAGAACAAAAGATGTTAAAGTCCTGAATTTCAAAAGCTCCATGCCCTTTTTTAACAGAGCAATGTTAAAAAACATATTGTCTAAGCTCTTCAGAAAGTTAAATATTTAAGAGGCTATTACAAATAAGTAATAAATTCAAATTAAGAAAAAGTTAGCAGGGGCCATATGTAGTACTACCATCTAGAGCTTTGCACACGGCACCTATTAATATTTTAGAGCTGCTGCATCTATTCCTGAAGCCATGAAGTTGTTTTTTTTTTATTTTCTTCAATATATTTTGTAGTTGTGTAAGTTCTACTTATTTAATATAATCCTTAATAAAAATTATTGGAAATTATTTAAAAAAAACATGGAGTTGTTTTCTATAGCTGCTATATAATCCCAGAGAAACATGTGATTGCATTAATGTTCACACTGCAAACAATTTGAAAACAAAGTACTAAGTAGCGAACAGCCCTACTTCAACTATGTCACAAAAATTGAAGATCTAATGTTTTATGTTTAGAAAGTCATTGCAAAACTAAATGGCTCAAGAATTAAATAAATTTATAGAATTACTACACCTGAATCAACTCAAGGTTCTGCATTAAAAAGAAGGGGTAAATACCTATGCACACTTTAAAGCAAAATGCCACTTACTGCCAATTTCTTTTTGAAAACTTTTGTTGCTTTTCTCTTTGACATCTTGTTACTAGAAAAACAAACAAAAGAGGAAAACAAGCTTAGATGGAATTACTCCCCTTTTCTTTTACATTCCAGGCATTAACCTTGTCCAAAAACTAGCTTCCAAATTAACTTGGCTATGTCCAAAGTAACCTCTAATTTAAGCCTGACCAAGCAAAAAGCCAGGCCAGGTGCCTGATTCTTCCCTACTCCCATACTCAAATCCTAATGGAAAAAGAGGAAGGAGCATGCACTCCCAAGACACCACCAAGGTAATTTTCACCCAGGCTTCAAAGGCGTGGGGTGGGCTCCGTTAAAGTAGCGTTTTTGTTTTGAACTGACCCACTCTCTCCTTGAACGGAGAAAGGCAAGTGCAGGAAAGCCCCACCCGGGAAGCCTAAAGGAGATTTCTTCCCCTATCACCAAGGGCTGATTTAGTGGTTAAGGTGCTGGCCTAGAAAGCAGGAGATTGAGTTCTAGTCCAGCCCTAAGCATGAAAAAACCGCTGGGTGACTTTGGACCAGTCACTCTCTTTCCGCTCAATTCACCTCACAGGGTTGTTGTGGAGACAATAGGAGGGAGAAGTATTAGGTATGGTCACCGCCTTGCATTACTTATAAAGTAAATAAAGGCGGACTAAAATCAAATAAATAAAAAGCAGGCATGGCCACTCGCCTCCATCCCCCAAGTACCATTGCTTCCTCTGGGGGGAGATGGGCGGTTCCTAAATTTGATATATAAATATTTTTTATAGATAATCCTTACACAGGTCGGAGCTTCTTACGCCGAAACGCTACTGCTGCAGTCGGGAGGCCTCCCGCCCTCCCTCCACCTCGCTCACCGGTGCCTCGTGCACTCCTTCCCAACGTTCAGAAGCGCCCCGCCTCGTGAGGGAGGAATAAAACGTGAGAGACGAAAAAAAAAAAAAAAAAAAACACGCGCAGGCTTAACTTCCTGACTACAAACTGCTTTTTTTCGCGCCAAAACTCAAAACTTACTGCCAGCATATCCCATTGCATACTCGAAAGGAGGGGGAGAGGAAAAATTGAGCTTAGCATCACTAAACCTGTTCGTTATGACATCTATAAATTAATTCTTACTATTCTATATAAAATTTCACAGTTCGCAAAAAGGGGCGAAAGAATATTAATATGGTTTTTTTCTGAAGGGATACCCCCTTTTTTCTTTAGTAGATAGTTTAGTCCATTGTCTGTGAGTTAAATTTTTGAAGTGTAACCCTATTACCACGCATAGCTGCGAGAATAAAGGAAGAGCGCCATCTAAAGGCCAGAAGATAGGCAACACGGATATTGCGAAGAAATTGTTCTGTAATTTTTACCTGTTTTTATCTGGAAACTCAAGTACTTTGGCCACCTAATGAGAAGGAAGGATTCACTGGAGAAGAGCCTAATGCTGGGAAAGATTGAGGGCAATAGAAGAAGGGGACGACAGAGAATGAGATGGCTGGATGGAGTCACTGAAGCAGTAGGTGTGAATTTAAATGGACTCCAGAAGATGGTAGAGGACAGGAAGACCTGGAGGAATGTTGTCCATGAGGTCGCGATGGGTCGAACACGACTTCGCAATTAACAACAACAACAACATCTGGAAACTGATACATTGTATTGTAACTGCTAGTAGCTTTGGAGACTGGCAAGGAGAGGGAGGCATGTCAAGGGGTGGCATGGAGAACAGTCGAAAGTTGTAGTTCTTCCGTGTAAGCATTTTTTCCATATTCAAGAAAAACCTAAAAATACAAACAATTATAGATACATTCCAATTTTGCTTAACTATTTAATTAAAAAACATCCCCATGGTACCTCATTTCAAATTTTAGACAACACCTGTAATGAAAAAGACACTAAAATATCTGAATTCTTCTAGTATTTATTTTTGTTCTATTAATACAAAAAGAAAATATGTTGTTATCCAAAGTAAATCACTTGATATGGTAATTTCTCTCCTCTTTTCTATGCAATTATATTTAGAAGTTTAAGAACCTCAGATTGAAAAATCTAAATATTCATTTGTTTTCACTAGATTCATGCATTCCGTTAAATCATAATCTATTATTTGTTTGTTTCTGGTTTGGTGTTTTGTTTGAATCCACCCATTTTATTTATAGTACATGGTTTATAGTCTAGCATAGTATGTGAATCTAGTGATCTTGGCTTATTCAACAAATCCATGCTTGATTCTGCTCCTAAGTTGCTCAAGTATCTCACCCTGAAGGATGATACTCAAAATGCAAAAAGGCCAATTGTATTAATTCAGCACAGGAAGTTTTTTACAGGATATTCTCACCAACCCTTCCCACTTGCAGAGGTATTTCCTGTCAAATGTATTGCATTTCCTATTGCAATTGTTTTGTTTACCATGGACCAGTACTGGGCTGCGACATGCCAGCAACTGGTCTGCACAAATAAGTCAAGCCCCATCCGCAGGATGCAGGCAGCACACAAAATCATGCACCCTCTGGTCTGCGGAAAAACCTCTCTCCACGGAACTGGTCCGTTGTGCCCCAAAGGTTGGGAACCTCTGTTGTAGTATGAGCAATTATGATGATGAAGGATTATAGAAAAGATATACAATATAAAAAATACATGCAATTCCCAAACAATCATCTACATTTTCAGGCTGCCTTAACTGCGATGTGACCAATTTAGAAATTGATCAGGAGGCCATAAGACTTCTCCAGCATTTGTAATCACTTCAAATCAGATACAAAATTAGAGATTTAAAATATATAAACTATTCTGGCTCAATTTCATTGGGTAATTGAAGGGCATATTTGATCAATTCAAAAAGCTATAGAAAGTCTGGTACTATTTATGTATTCTACTGCATATTCACCTTTCTCACCTCTACTTTGGCACCTTTTATATGTATGGACTCCCAGTTCCCAGAATTCCCCAGCTAAATTTGAAAACCTCATATCTGAAAGCTGTCAATATTGAGGAATGCTATTTTGCTGGACAATTCTGTAAGAAAAAGAGTCTTAGTTATTCTGCATTCTTATTAATGGAAGACTCTACTATCCAGAAATATCTCTATTAGCATTAGTGAGAGGGAAGTAGTACAGAATCTGTTTCCTGCAATCCCTTTTACTACTTTCTTACTAAATCAGTCTGGAATGTTGTGAATGCATTCATACTGTATGTAAACCTGATTCACCAAGAAGGCAATTAGAGCATTAATGACAGCATATATTTTTACAACTGTCTCTGCTGCTCTGCAGCCTGTTTTTCCTTTCTGTAGAATTTGGTGTATGGCATATTGTCTTTGAATTGATGACTCTATTAGGGTAACTGTTTAGCTTTTATTAGATAGAAAATATTCCCTTCTCCAACTGAAAATGATGCAATTACAAGATAACAGGCACTTTTTCGAGAAGTATAAGTAATTGCTATTTTCTCAAAAGAATGAAAGCATTCATAGGGCAGAAATATGGTGTAGTAGTTTAGGCACCAGGCTAGAAACTAGGAGACTGTGAGTTCTACTCCTACCTTAGGCATGAAAGCTGGCTGGGCAACCTGGGGCCAGTCACTCACTCTCAGCCCAAACCACCTCACAGGTTGTTGTTGTGCGAAAAATCAGAGAAAGGAGTGTTAGGTATTATTTATAAAGTAGTAATGGTGGGATTAAAAAAAAACACTAAAGAAAAGCCCTAAAACTTTCCTGTTGCAGTTATTAAAAAGCTACAGGCTCACATATACACTTTGGCTGATGTGAGATCTAAATAAGGAACAAAATATCTCATGATCCTAACAGTGGGTATTTTATCTTGAGATTATATTAACACAAGGCATGGAACACTTTCAATATAAAAGAATACACATAGGCACCAGCCTGGGACTATGTGCATCATATACACTATTATAATATTTTTATCCAAACTTTATAAGTAATTCAAGGCACAACTATCCTGTGAGGTTGGTGGGGCTGAGAGTGAGTGACTGGCCCCAGGTTGCCCAGCCAGCTTTCATGCCTAAGGCAGGAGTAGAACTCAAGTCTCCTGGTTGCTAGGCCAGCATCTTTACTACTACACTAAACAGCATCTTTACCACTACACTACACTACACTAAAGTAATGGTGGGATTAAAAAAAACACTAAAGAAAACACTATCTTTGTCTTACATATATATATATATATAAAAACACTACCGTATCTTTGTCTTATATATTCACATACAGCTTAGCTTAATGCAGAGACAGTGGACTGTAGTCCTGACTACACCTCTAGCCAATATGGCAGTTGTACATCATTAATATCTACAATACAACCAAAAGTAGAGTTTCTCTATGCCTAAGTTAATACTTCTATTTTACAAGATTTCCAAAACAGAAAAGACTTTTGCTAACATGAACAAAATTTATTGTAAATTATAAATCATGGATTTATACTCTTTGGATTATGGTTATTGATATTCACATTTGTTTAAGCTTAATAGCAATTTTAGTCATATAATATATTCAGTTATTCATTACTAAATAACTAATGATATATTGGGAAAGTATAACCACCATGACATTTCCGAATCCCTTCTTAGTTCAACCATTCATTCATTCATTTATTCATATGCATTTAATACTAATATAATTTTTCCTATTTAATTTCCATTTGAAATACCTAATAAAAAATTAAAATACAAGACAATGAATGTCCCCAAGTTCCCAATTTCGATTCAGCAAAACTGATACTTACATGGAAGCATTAGTTCCTAGTTTATATTGAATGAAATTAGAGAGGGGAATGGAATTGTAGTAGATGTGTTTATGTGCAATCAGCCTTATATGATTTCAAAATATATGATACTACTGCTTAGTATGGTTGGTGTAACCAAATAAGAATAGGCTCATATGCTGGTTACAAGCTGAGACTGCCTCTGAAATTCACAATATACACTAATTAAACTATCTAAGTCCAACCTTGGCAACTTTAGGACTTGTGGACATCAACTCCTAGAATAACCCAGTCAACCTTTAAGTAAGTTGGGTGGTTTAAATTTTCTATCAATCCAAGCCCAGGTTTCAACAAAAATTGAGTTTCTAGGAGGGACTGTGCACTACAATATTTTGCCAAATTTTACTCAAAAGTAGTTGAAGAAACTTGGGTGGCAGCTAAATTACAAAATATTCTACCATAGGAGGGTAGAAATGAGACCATGAGAATAGGTAGTCTCAGCAATGCTCCAGAAGTGTAAGATGTTATAGTCATATCCTAATTTGTGTAGCACTATTTAATAATTGTTGTTGGGCTGTCTCCTTTTGTTCTGTTGTCTATATTGAATATCTAACAATTCCTTACCATTAAAAAAGCATCAATTCCATCATCTGAACTAAAAATATACCTACATACACGTATGTACATATACATTAATGTTTAGCTGATTCTCTGCTGAATTGACTTTCTAAATTATAAAGGCCTTGTTTTATTTGCAATAAGAGCTTTTGAATGAACTGAATTTTTAACATCATCCATTTTTTTTATCAACCATAATTACAGATACCACTTCTAGAGAATAATGCTATTAAAAGAATATTACAAACCAATTTAAAATGAGGCATCAGAATGACAATAACAACATTGCACTGGTGTGTCCATCCTTTTTATGTATGATTTTGTGATATATCTATAAAAGACGTAGGGCTTGTATCATATCAGTACAACACTGCATTTGTCATATGCCATCTACATATGCCTTTGGGTATAAATGTTTACATTTTCTACAAGCAACAAGCTTCTTCTGCCCACTATAGAATTACTCCAGAAACAACCCTTTCACTAAAGAATTGATTTCTTTCTGTTTCAGTAATAAACTATAGGTCAGTGGAATATTTTTGTTCCCCTATGGCAGTGATAGTAAACCTTTTAGAGACCGAGTGCCCAGACTGCAACCCAAAATCCACTTATTTATCGCCGGGTGCCAGGTGGGTGTGGCCCACTGGGTGGGCGTGGCTGTGGTCATGGCAGACTGGATGGGTGTGGCCAAGGTGGGCATGGTCACCTCAATTTTGCTTGTGCGGAGGGACACTTGTGGGAGCCAGGCAGGGTTGGGGGAAATCCAGGGGGTCTCTGGCAGGTGGGATGCTGGGCAGGAGGCTTGTCCTGCGGGGTGAGGCGAGGCGAGACAAGGCAGGGCAGGGGTGCCATTGTCGCAGGGCAAGACAAGGGTCAGGGCGGCTGCTGCCCAATACCATCGGCCCCCACACAGAGGCCAGAGAGCGCATGAGGGGCGACAGTGTCCATCAGCAGCCACACCCTGCCAGCCCCTCGACCGGTGCACTCTGGGGCTCTGCAGCCCACTGCCAGTAGTTCAGAGAAGCCGCCTCTGAGCTGGACGGATAGCCGACAGCTGAGGAGGCAATGCAGTGGGTCGTGCCCAGTAAAAGGAGAGCATGCGAGGCCAGGAGGGATGTGACGGAGGGGAGGGAAACCACCCATACTGGGATGCATCCGGCCACGTGGGACCTCGGTTGAGTTAGCGGGCGGCTGGTTGAAGAGGGACGGTTGCCATCTCCGGGGCATGGCGCGCGTGCCTACAGAGAAGGCTCTGAGTGCCGCCTCTGGCACGCGTGCCATAGGTTCGCCACCACTGCCCTATGGAACTGCTTTTATCCAAGTTCAGGTTTGCTAGTTTCTAAAAAGTTATTAAGACGAGCTTTCCCTAATATTAAGCTCTTGAGATGTATTTAGATTAAAAACTTTTCATTCCCACTGTCACAAGAATAGGGTACTGCCTAGGAATACTAAGGTTGTAATCCATAGTCCAGTGCCAGAAAGAGAAAACTGGTTTAAGATCAGAAAATTCTATTTTGCTAATGTGTCAAAATTATTTCTTTATGATAAAGCTGTGTAAGAAACTATTATTTATTGGCTGATTTGCCTTTCTCTTGCTTCCTGTACCAACTGCGACATAAAATAGTCATAAAGGTCCAGACAAAAAGAATGGGAAACAAATAGGAATAATCAGGCAATAATTCCTATTATTATTTTTAGGTATGAGCGCACAGTGACTTTTTAAAATTGCAGTATTAAAAACATTTACTCAAATTAAATGCAGAAATATTTATTTTGGCTTCCTTATGGAGTTTTTTTGGATGGAAATTTTTGTTTATAAAATATAGAAATAGCCAACACTAAGCAAACTTTTGAATTCCAATATAACAAGTGAGTTAATACTTTAAGAGTATGGGTTTGAATAATGGTGTGCAATAAGGACACCCATGTATGAAATTATGCAACTGGGTAGTGCATTATAATCACACACTCTTTAGTGCAAACTTCATTGTGCTTGTTTACATATATTTAACACAAATTAATTACTGTTTTATGGGAAAACTCAGACATGGGTTACTACAAGGCATTTCAATTCCATCCATCCCTCAGAAAAATATACAGATGCAGGTAAAAGGTAGGTATGTTCAAGCATTCTTCCCCATTCCAATAAAATGACATCCTATATATATATATATATATATACTACAGTCCGTTACCTGTCTGTTACAGAAGCATGGTTATTTTTGTATCCTATCAAATTCTCAATATTCTTTGCTCAGTAAGAAGCAGAAGCTAATTTTGTACAAGACCCAGTAAATTAAATTACGATTAAGCTGTACTACTGAGGCAATCTAATGGTTGGCAATGTATGAGCATGCCTTAGTCCCAGTTTGTACTGAAATTCCATCCATATCCATGCATATTTTATAACATGATGCCACTATGGCCCAACTATCCCTGTAGCTCATGAAGCTGATATCTTGGATTATATAGGAAATTTTATCTGGAGTCTCCCCCAAATTCTAAAGCTAAAATATATGATCATTTATTCTGTGGTTCATTGCATTAATACCACAACATTAAATAAAGCTTTGAAAAAGTCAGTAAATAACGTAGGCATCCAAGATTCTGCCCAAATTTTACATCCAACCACAAATAAGTTTCATTTTCCTATCAGTGTTCCTCTGCTATGATGCAATAAAAATCTCCATATATCAAATATTTTGGAAAATGATTACCAGCTGTACAATGTAATATAAACAATTGAATGTGGTAGCAACACACATATCCCTTTACATGCCTTGAGAGTCACATTTTTGGCTGAAGTCTTAAATAACAAATCACATAGATAACATGTACAGTTTTAAGGCGCATTGAGGAAGTTGTATGTCACTGTAAAAAATGGTCTGCGACACAAGTGGACAGTAAGGCAGAGTTCAAATTTTCTTCAGTTTTCCTATGTTGAGTACCCCTTTGTGTAGAAGTTAATGATTGCACTGTTTCCTTCCACATATTTGTTATAGTCTGTTCATAGATATGATGGTTAATAGCAAATGCCATTCTCTCTAATAGTTTTACATCTGGACATTAGCATAGAGTTCTTCTATTTGAGAGCTGAAATATTTGCGTAGCTCAGGTCTCTTTGCCTTTAAGGTTGGTGTTAGCAGGCCATTCTCAATAGAGAACATTTCAGAATGAAGGGCAATGCCTTTGATCTGAAAAAAATGGAGGTTAAATCAGACTTTGCAAATTTTTGTTTAGAACAATGTTATACATACATTGCAATTAGACTGAAAGAACAGAAGTTGTATCTGAACCAGTTTATTTTAAACAATAATGATGTTCCATATCAGTAAGGATTTAATATGGGTGCTGAATTAAATAGACTGTTTATTGAAACCAATCACCCATCTTTTTAAGAAAAAACAATTTTCTCTCTTTCCTTTAAAATAAAATTCTAGTCTTAATGCAAGGGTAGGTTAATTTTTTCCTTAATAATTAGATCTTGCTAATCTCATTGTAATTAGCCAGTTAATGTTTGTAACTCTAGAACCCAAAATGACATTGAGGTAGAAAGGTTTGGTACAGGCAGGCTAATAGTAGGCAAACATTTTAGATTCTCACCTGTTCAAATGACTTCAAGCCAAACTCCTTTCCTATCTTCAACATATCTTCCAGAATGTATTTTTTTATATCCTGTTGGGATTCAGAGAATAGTGTTACAGAACAATATAACAACAATATGAATCTTATTTATTATTTGTAGACCACAAATAATAAAGGCTCACTGCACTTATTTAACTTAAAAGGGCTAATTAGAAGATACTTTGCAAAAAAAAAAAAATCAGGACAGATGATAGGCCATGATTTATTATTTTGCTATACAATCTCTACACACAAGTCAGATATGTCTAGATTCTAGACCGTGAAAGCAAGACTAGAAGGCCCAAAAATGACCCAATCCTAGCTTGTGGGTCACTCAAGATGGTTAAGAATAATTATTTTGCCAGTATTTTAACAACAGTGTGGGTTGATAGCAGGGACAGTGTACTGAGTTTTTTGCTCTGACTATGCAAATTCACCAGTGTTGCAATTATAATGATACCAACGCAAAACATGAGTTGACTCCTTATTTAAGTTGTTTTATGTTTTAAGTGATTGACCCTTTCTCTGTTTTGTGGGTTTCTCATGTTACTTGAACTTAATTATATTTTCTTTTCTTTTCCCTTTAATGATAGATTTCCTGACATTTCATTGGCAATCATGGCTTGGCATCTTCAGAGGCAAGATGGTGTGCCAATTTCTTTTGCTTACTATTGTTTTTTTGTGCTTTGCATAATGATTACTAAAACATAATCATATGATAGGTGCATATGTATGAATGTAATATTTTAACTGTCAAGTGAAATCAGGAAATCCAAACAGTTCAAATGAATATAAAGGTTTATTGCAAGCTGAAATTCTCTACAAGAATCTGAACTACTAAAGGTGAAAACAAATTGGTGGCAGATAAGAATCAACAGAATTCAAGGTGGGCTGGTCTTAGATTCCTTGTGGGCGTAATGGGATTTGAGACTGATGATGCATTTGACCTCTCCCTTGGGCTCAGCCTGATCATCTCCTACATTACGTACACTGGAAACTACATGGATAAAGAAAGCTTTAAAAATGAACAAGCTTGCACATACTACTAGGGATTGTAATCAGAAAAAAAATCCACCTACTTTGTTTTTGCACAATTCTTCATAAGAGCCTCCCAGGCCTTTTTTCTTAGCCCATATTACCAATATGTCTGGATCTGGTACCACAATTCCTACTAGGAAAGCCTGAAGAACAAATAAATACTTAAACTGTTATTACTGGATCAGCCACTTCACAAAAGTTTTATTGGCAAAAGGGGAAGCCAAGTTGCACCTTTTGCCACAACAGAAAACAATAGTTCTGTGTTGCAGTACCAAAGCTGTGGAAGACTGCCCCTTGGAGATCAAATCAATCTCTTTCTTTGGTCTATCTTCACAGCAGAAGAACATTTATTCATGAAAAATGTTTTTATTCACTTTAGACATTTCTAAGACATTTTTAGAAACAAATACCTACCTGCAAACTTTCACCATGGACAAACACCTGGGCAATAGGTTCACTCCTCAAATATACATTCTCTATTTTTTCTGGTGCTATATATTCTCCTTGTGCAAGTTTGAATATGTGTTTTTTTCTATCAATTATCTTCAGGGTACCATTCTATAAAACCAGTAGAAAAAAAATTCAATTCATAAAAGGTTCATGCTTTACATTATCTCATAATTGATGAGAGCCGAATGCAAGATCAATTCTGAAGAACATTCAGTTAAAAGCCAAGATTGCCACTAAGAAATAATTTGTTTGAACAGCACAGGTAGACTATCTCTGTAAGTTATGTCAACGGCCCACAGCTCATGGTAGTTGTATTTTGACACCAAGATAGGAAAACATAAAACATTTATTTATTTATGCATACATCAAGTTTGTTTGCTGTCCAATTTCATTTTGCTCTTATAATCTTATTCAGGTAGTCCTTGACTTACAACCACTCATTTAGTGACAGTTCACTGAAAAAAGTGACTGACGACCGGTTTTCACACTTACAACTACTGCAGCATCCCCATGATTTCGTGATCAAAATTTGAGCACTTGACAACTGGCATGTATTTATGACAGTTTTACTGTCCCAGGGTCATGTGATCAGTATTTATAACTTTCCCAGCTGGCTTCTGACAAACAAAGTCAATGAGGGAAGCCACATTCCCTTAACGACTGCATGATTCACTAATAACAGTAGTGATTCATTTAACAACTATGGCAAAAAGGTCTTAAAATGGCACCTCATTTAACAAGTGCCTTACTTACCACAGAAATTTTAGGCTCAGTTGTATTGTAAGTCGAGGACTACCTGTACGATCTTCTGATAGGAAATGTTCAATTGTCTTGAAAGTAACTTCATAGCATTTACCAAGGAAATTGTTATAAATGTTTACAATAAATATCTACTAAGGTGCCTTCCATCACACCAGCTTGTGCTGATCTGGGACTGGCAATGCACATACGAACTTTCAACAGTTTTTCTGTGACTGAACAGATTCACTTCCAACTTAGCTGCAGCACAAGAAAAATACACAGTGAAAATAGGCTTTTTGCTTATGGCCAGGTCTATAAGGTAGCCTTTTCCCATATCCTGTTGGCACTGTAGTCAGTATCTATATCACAGTACTTGTGTGTATATGAAAGGATTGGACAATTATATTCAGCATTGCTAGGAATCTGATATCTAAGCTGCAAGTCATCTCAGTGTTTATACTATGGAAAAAACTGGCAAGGCAGTTGATGATACCATGTTTTACAAGACACTTGCACTATAAATGATCAATAGATGGAATGTCACAGAAATATTCAGACTTGCAACAGAAAAGTTCTGGCATTAAAATAGTGAAGTAACCATTTGATTAAAGGAATCTCTTCTTTCTGTTCACAAAATACCCTTGATTACAAATTGGCTTACCGGTAACCACTTCCCAATATCTCCAGTATGTACCCAGCCGTCTTTGTCAAGAACTTCTGCTGTTTTTTCAGGATCTTTCAGATAGCCTTCAAACACATTTGCTCCTTTTACACAAATCTGGAAAGAAGTGGACTATGCTTAAAAAACACCCTTCCATAAAACAGATTTTCCTACTAATTTATGTAAGAATGGAAATAACGTTCATTTATAGTGAATAACTTATAGTAAATAAGTTCATTTACTATACCAACTGATTCTTTTTAAGCTCACTTATTATTTTTAAGAAATTTGCTAATATTTTGGTAAATAATGCTGATCAAAATCACAGTACCTTTAAATTGTTGTTTGAACGGATTCTTGTAGAACACAGAATGTACTTAACATTTAAAATGTGCAATTTGAAACAGAAATACATTTTCTGACATTTGGGTACGTTTTGAACTTAAAGTTCTACATGTAAGAATTGAAACTGGTGAAGCAGGTACCAGTAGTTCACAGCTAGAAAGGACCATGATATACACACATTACAACTGCTCAAGGCTGATACCTGATAAACTACTAAGTGTCTGTAAATTCAAAAATGCAGGAGGAAAAAACTAAGAGTTTACTCTCTGGATCTCTCTGTCTTTCTCTCTTTCTCACACACACACAAACACACTAAAACAGACAAATAATGAATGAATATTCTACATCTGTTGCTCTGTAGCAGACAATCAATTTTTGTGTTAAGGCTAATTTTTGCCTACAAGATAGTTTTTAATCGAGCTGAACTGTGTTTGACATCTTCTGCCAACTCAAGCCAATGAATGAAGGTTAAGTGCTGGAAAAGCCGAGCCTTGGAGTTCAGAAGCACAACTTACCTCACCTTCTCCTTTGACAGCAAAATAATTCATTTCTTCTACGTCAACCAGCTTTATGATATTACAAGGCATTGGGGCACCAACATGACCTATTGATGGAATAATAATATTTTGTTTTAGGTTGTTTTTAACCATATGCCATCCAGAATCAATCTGAATAAAGGTAATTGATAAACAATACAATTCTTTTTAAAATTAATTATTTTTAATGTATAATTGAGTAATATTTTTACCATACACTGAATGTAATTGAATTTTTAAATTTGACCACAGTCTCTCCAAGTTGTATTAATGTTTCCACTTCTGGAACACAATTCTATTGCTACATACAAACAAAAGATTTTATTTTTTTATGCTAGTTCTAAAGTCCATTTCTAAGAATTGTATCAGGCAAATCTATGTTCTTCGCATGGTACTAAACTGAACTTGAACTGAATAGGATTTGAGGGTAGTTCTGCTAGCAAGCAACATTTCACCCATAGGAACTGCTGTATCTTAATGTTCCTGCTGCTAGTTCTTATTAACTTTTCTCTCTACATTCTTATTTGTATTATTGTTTTTATTAGCTAAAGTTATATGCCACCTTTTCTCTAGAAGCCAAAGACAACTTAAGCAGGAATTTTTCCTTCATTTTACTCTCATAGTGTCTATGTTGTAGGTTAAGCAGAATGTGACTGACTGGACTAAAAAAACAGACAGTAAATTTCCATGATGCAGAGTAGACCAGCATCTGTATATACTCAGTATTAATCCAACAGCTTATTTATTTATTTAGCATATGGCCATGTTACATTAGCCAGGAGACTACAATGCTAATACAGGGTAGTTGTTTGGCTGCCTAAGATTGCTAGCCTATTCTGTTCACAGTTGTGCGTTTTCCAAGGTGCACCACAGGGGGTGAGGTAGCACTACACCAGAAAGAAATATGAACAGCATCCTGCAACATCATCTGGAACCTTTTCTCTCCACTGAAATTGCCTCACAAATGGGTGTCACATCCAGGAAGGTCCAGCCCCAGCAGGATCTGACTGTCTGCAGGAAGCTTTGGCTAATCTTCCTACCAAAGTGGTACCTATTTATCTATTCACATACAAGGTGCTTTCAACCTGCTAGGTAGACAGAAGCTGAGGCAAGTGACGGGAGCTCCCCTGCCATGTTCTACTAAGACTTGAACCGCTGGAGCAGAAAAATGTAGAAAAAATATCTCCAGGGAATAAATTGGGTGATTGGAAGAAAATTTCCCTCCTTTCCCTTCCACTTCCTTTTAAAATAACAAAATGCCACAATTTTTTAGGGCAAGTACATGTGGGCAAATAATTTAGTTCAATTTACTTGTGATCTTCAACCCTGAGATTCCCAAAATTAATGGGCTATACTGCCCATCACCTTCAGCTAATACACATAGTAGCCAGTAAAGACATACCTGTATGATGTAATTAATCTAGTCAAATATATATAAATACAAATTGCTCTGGACATTTATTCTGAATGGCTTCTCATTTGTGATTAATTTTACCACTGAAGTTTCTCCATAAATATTTTGCCTGCCCTGATTTAAACTGTATAAGACTTAACACAAAAGAAGCCCTACCAGCAGTCCAGTCACCAGGTATTGTTAGAGAACATCCAGCTGTGCATTCTGTTTGTCCATAGCCTTCATAAAACTGTGAAGCAGAACATAAAGATCAGTCCTAAAGTTTTTCCCACCCAAAGGGAATTATATTTTGCCCTTTCTCAAGACATCTTATACAAAATTCTTGAACAAGTTTGGTTTTCCAATTTAATTTTTTCTTAGTATGTGTGTGTGTATATATGTATATGTATATGTGTGTGTGTGTGTGTGTGTGTGTATATACACACACACACACATACATATTCTGAGTAATAATGTATTTAATTAAACAATTACCTATTTTAAATTTGGAATTTTTCAAGAATGTTTGTTTAATTTAATCATAGAAATACCATCTAAGTCTTGACCTAACATTAATCTTGTATTTTAATACTTCAAATGGGACTTAATATTGACACAGGTCAAGAATAAATTATTTCTGGTCACAGACATACCAATGGTACATTGCAAAAATTATAACCCTTTTAGTTGAGTTTTCTATATGAAATTCCAGTCTGAAACAGACTGCATTTATGTATGGTAACAATTCTTGAATCTTGATTTATAAGCTAATGATGATAAAATTCTTATTTATATAACTGATTTTGTATTTTAGGCAAAGGATTGTTAGATGGGCCCAATCCAAATAACTAAGAGAAGCTTCACATGTCACTTGGAGAGCCAATAATACCGTTGTTTTTTTCACAATCCAGTTTTCAATACTGTTTGATATTTCATGGTCTTTAGTCCCTTCCTGTGCTCAGTTAATCATATATGTGCTTTGTAAACAAGTTAATTCAATTCCCTAACTCTAACCCCAAGATAATAAATAAAATATGACATTTGTAATGTAATGAAATGAAATGAAAATTATATTTTCCATTCTAGTTACAGTCCAAGCTCACCTGACAACCAAGAGCTGCTCTGAGGAAGGTCAATACATTTGCAGAAACAGGGGCTGCTCCTGTAATCATTAGTTTGACTTTTCCTCCCAGATTTGCCTAAGGAAAGGGGGAAAAAAACCAAACAAACCCCAAATATAGTCACTTCAACAACCACAGGGAAGCCAAAAGTCTATGGTGAGTGGCACTTGATCATACTTGGAAGAATATTTAACAGCCCAAATCCCTTGAACTCTTTCCAAGTATGTATGTTTAAAGACATCTTAGAGCAGTGTTTCTCAACCGTGGCAACTTGAAGAGGTATGGACTTCAATTCCCAGAAGTCCCCAGCCAGCACAGCTTGAGAAACACTGGCTTAGAGTCACATGAATGAATAGACCAGGGGTGTCAAACTCAATTTTATTGAGGGCTGCATCAGCATTGCAGTTGCCCTCAGGGGACTGGGTGGGTGTGGCCTACTGGGTGGGCGTGGATGGAATGGGTGTGGCCTACTGGGTGGGCATGGCCAGCTCTACATCGTTCACATCAAGGGTGCCTGTGGGGGCCTGGGCAGGAGTGGGACAGATCTGGGGGTCTCTGGCAGAAGGGGGTGGGACCGGGGCTAGCGTCAAGGCATGGCCCATTTCTTCATTCCTCACAAAGGGTGACACTTCCCCAGCATGCACCCAGGGGGCGGGGCTGACACGGCAGGGGCTGGTTCCTCACTGTTTCCAGACGGTCTTTTGGAGCTAAGACTGAATGCGTTTCAGCATAGATGGCCACCACAAAATTGTACAGTGGCTCCCGGCCGGCCTGGGCCAGGGCCAAAGCAGCAGGGGCCATTCCCTCACTGTTTCCAGGATGGCTTTGCGGGCCACATAAAATCACTTCGAGGGCCACATCTGGCCCCGGGCCTTGTGTTTGACATGTCTGGAATAAACTATTCTTTCAGGGAGCATTTGTTTCAGTGCTTCCTGCCGGGTACATTTCGCCCTGTTACTTCATCTAAAACTAACACAGGCCATGATATTGTTAAATAATCCTTCTAAACTAGACATGTGTATTAGGAAAGACCTGGCAATCCTATACCAGGAAGAAGAAGAAGAAGAACAGACAACCTATTCCATCTACATGATAATGAATTTTACTGTCCTAACAGGAAGGGAATCACATTTGCATCACTCTGTATCATATCCAAATATACATAATACATGATTAATGTTTCCTTTTCTTGGCTCTGTTTTCCTCATACAGACATTCCAGCTATACCATTCATATATAGTTGTTACATATGCTGATCACCACAGAAGCAAAACTTCTGACATGTCTAACACAGTTATCTTATGGATTGCCTCATGCAGTATCATATAGGACAACCTGGAAGGCTTTCCTTTGAGTGTCTCAGATAATTAAGAACTAATACTATGGGTTCAAAACAAAGGTAATTTTTCAGATTTTTTAAAATATGTAACATCTAAATTAAGAAAAGAGCTATGGATCTGCATAAAAGATCCTCAATTACCTTGCTTCATTAGACTGGGTGAAATTAGAATCACTAGTTTACAAGCACCAGCAGTTACACACATGTTGAGTCACTATGTGAAAGATGCCAAGGTTAAACTGCTATTTCTGGCGCTGTGAGATGGTACTGCCTATTAGAATGATCTCACATACCAAACATACTTGGCCACTGGAAATCTACTTTGAGTCTTCTACAGACAAATAAAGATTTTTCTACAAAAAAGTATTCCAATATTTACTTCCTTCAGCCACAATTTTAAATTCAAACAATTTTGAAGAATTATACTACAGATAGTCCTTGACATACGACCACAATTGAGCCCAAAATTTCCATTGCTAAGGAATACAGTTGGTAAGTGAGTTTTGTCCCACTTTACAACCTTTCTTGCCAAAGTTGTTAAGTGAATCACTGCAGTTGTTAAGTTAGTAACACAGCTGTTAAGAATGAATCTGGCTTCCCCATTGACTTTGCTTGTCAAAAGGTCACAAGAGGTGATCACGTGATGCTGGGACAGTGCAACTGTCATAAATAATGCCAGTTGCCAAGCACCTAAATTGTGATCATATGACCATGGGGATGCTGCAATGGTCATAACTGTGAAAACCAGTCATTATTCACTTTTTTCAGTGTCATACCTTTAAATGCTCACTAAATGAATGATTGCAAGTCAAGGACTACCTGTGTTATGTTAGCTGAATTATTATGTTATATGAAAAGGATATAATCAAATAGGTAAGTGTGCACTCTACATGTAAAGAATCCTAGATTCAGTTCTTATTACCTCCATATAAGATTAAATAAGATATGTCTTAGCAAGCATACACTGGTCTATCATAAAGGTTCATGGGAGCTACTAGCCAACCACATCTGGAGGACAATACATGCCTTCTAAAAGAAAATTGCCATCTGAAACTTAGCAATAGAAAACATGCTAATCTGGATGGATCAATGATTTAATAAACAGTAGTCCTAAATTCATACCCACAGAGTGTTTTAAAAAATATTGGAATCAAGAACTTCCAGAGAACAAGTCGACTCAAAATCATCAGCAATCAGGTTACCTGTACTTTGCGGAAAATTATTTTATCCCATAGGCTGTTATTTCTAATAATCCCACTTCTAATTTCTGCCTCTTTCCTCTTGGAAGCAAAATCCAATATCCACCGCTTAAGTGAAGTGTTTGCTTGTTGAAAGATCTGCAAAAGAGCACAATTTTCCTCAAGATGCAAAGAAATGAATATATTTTTCACTATCTTATGTGATTACCATTAATTGAACAAATGCCTGAGGGCTCATGCTTTCTATTTTCCATTGCTAATCACTGGAGTCATTATAATCCTTTGATGAAGCCCTACTCTTCATCCCCTCTACCTTATGCAGTAGACATAATTTTGTAGCTATATGCAAATGCAAATAACACCTGGGAAAGATCTTAAAGCTGCTGCAACATTGAGTGACTGCTGCTGTAGTTTCACCTCCTAGATACAAATGTGAGCTTTGCTTTTATGAGTCAAAATATGCTCTATTTGCTACCATTAGATTCCCAAAGCATAAAAAGTGATTTTCCAAAATGTCATGGAAAGCAAGGGTGCTTTTCTGTTCAGTTTCACACAGACTTACTTTATCAAACATTCTGTTTAACAATCTTGGCACCACAGGGAACACTGTAGGCTGCAAAGCTTTTAGGTCATCCATGAGTAGCCTGATGTCTCCCTGGAAAAATCCAATCCGAGCCCCATGGCAAAGAATCACACACTACAGACAAGAGAGAAAGAGAGAATCCAAAATAAACCAAGGCAAATAAAATTTGATTGGCTTATTTTTTTAAAAAAGACAAGAAATTGGAGTAGTTAATTTATTTTATCACTGCAGTCCAAGTTATCAGCATTCCCTTTTGTACCACATATTAGCACGATCTGTTTTACGCTGGTAGTTAGGGAGCACACAGACAAAGCTTTTGTTCTCCAGCCACTTTGACATATTCTTGGAATTATATTTGCCTATTAGAAGTATTACTTAAGTTTAGATTGCCTGATTCTATGACTTTTATTTCTGATCCTACTGCATTTTTCCAGTTCATTAGCTTCCACCCTTAAACTGGCTTTTTTCTAGTTACAGAAAATTTACTAGGAGGCAAAGCTGAACAATGCCTTTTAATTGATTTTGATATAAGCTATCCACCTGGCAGCACATTATTTCCTTAGTAGGTGACTTTTTTAAAGTCACTCCTTTGCTTAAGATACAGTGGATTTAATACACTCTTGTTAAAATGCCAGGTTTTTGAGATGTAAAAAAATCAGACCAAAATAAATCACTTCAGATTTTTTTTTCACCTTTAATGTAACATGGAAACTGTACAATTCAATTGAAAAACAAATTAATTTTTTAGGAGAAATAATAATGTACAATAACATGGATGTATACGTGTGTGTACTATAAGTAGGGATGTGGTTCTGTTCAGAAATAGCTAATCACATTCAAACTGATGTTAAATAGTAGAGAGTACACAGTGAAGACAGTCTTCACCAAGTAGAGAAAATATGGCACAATAGTGACATTACCAAGAATGGGATGTCCCTCCAAAATCGATGGAAAAACAAGAAAATTGATCCGAGAGGTTGCCAAAGAGACCTACAGCAATGTTAAAGGAGATGCAGGAATTTCTGGTAATAACAATTTTCCGTACTCTTCATATGTCTGGGCTGGGGGGCAAGGTGGCAAGATGGAAGGCTTTTCTTTCCAAGAAAAACATCCAAGTCCAGCTACATTTTGCAAAAACCCATATCTGAGAAAAGCATGTGGGAAAATACGTTAGTTAGTCTGATGAGATCAAAGTTGAACTTTCATGCCATAATTTCAAAAAGTATGTTCGGCTCAAAATCAACACTATGCATCACCAAAGGCACACTATACCCACCGTGAAGCATGGTGGTGGCAGCATTATGCTTTAGAGCTGCTTTTCTTGAGCTGCAGCTGGAGCTTTGTCAAGGTGGAGGGAATTATGAACAGTTCCAAATATCAGTCAATTTTGCATAAAACCTTCTGACCTCTACGTAAAAGGTTGAAGATGAATTCAAATTTCAACATGACTATAATTCAAGGCATACTTCCAAATCAACAAAAGAACAGCTTCACCAGATGAAGGTCAAAGTTTTAGAATGGCCCAGCCAAAGCTCAGACCTGAATCCAATTGAAAATCTGTGGGGTGACCTGAAGAGCCCTTGGAGATCTTTTGCAAGGAAGAGCGGGCAAAGATTCCCAAGGCAAGATGTGCCAAGTTGATCGGCTTCTACCCAAAAGACTGGCTGCGGTCATCAAATCAAAAAGTGCTTCAACAAAGTATTAGTTTAAGGGTGTACACACTTATGCAACTACGTTATGGTACATTTTTAGTGATATTTTGCTCTGTAAGAGATTTCAGTTTGTTTTTCAACTGAACTGTGCAGTTTATAGGTTTATATTAAAGATGGAAAATTTCTGATTTATCTTGATCTGCTTTTTAAATTTCAAAAAACTGGCATTTTAACCAGTTTATATTTAACCATTTATATTTACTCTACTTGTAACTTCAAACACACCACCTTAACTGTCTTCATTCCTGAAGCCGCTAATCACTTGCCTGGTTAGCTAATACTATGTTTATAGATAACACCATATTTATAACCATATCATTTCTTCCTCCTGCAGAATACGGAAGAATAATAATCTTTAGCTCAGAGAGCTAAAATAAAACTATTTGAAACTGGCAGATCATGATCGTTCCCTGATTTGTAATGAAGTTTCTGTTTCTGTTTCAAACATTTGAGAAATAGATTAAGGACATCAGACATTTCATAAACCTTAGCCAGGGTGGCAAATAATCAGAATTCTAAATGCTGTAAGCAATTATCTGAAGTCATTAATGGCTTATCCCTGATATCTATATCTCCTGAGCAGGCTTCATTTTATTTTAAGTAATAATAGCTCCACTGTGTTTTAGCCAATTTCAAGACAGGAAAGCAATATATGTTACAGCAATCACTATGGAGAGAGCATTCTGAAGAGAGAGAAGTTCCCTGAGGATGGGCTCCAGTCCGAATCCAAAAATTTGGAAGAATAAACCTCTGGTCCTGATGACTGACTCAGACTGGATCCTGCAATGTTAACCTGGGACACATGTTTGCCTTAATTACTGGTGAATAAGCCTAGAATTTTATGTGCCAGCTTATGAACATAAGGTATAAGGTTAGCATAAGAGTGTTTTATGTTCAGTGAAATCTGTATATAAATACCCCTTAGTCATTCAGACTTAAAATTATTTTTCAGTTTGTAGTTATCTACATATGAAAAATGAGATTACTCAGAGATTATTTTTCAAACATAATTCTAAATCCAATCGGACTAAAAAGGAATTAATTATAGGCAATTATGACAGAATTAAAAAGCCTACACAAACAATATATTTACAAATTAAAACGCTTTCAGTGCACACAGAACACAATAGAGAAAACAGTGTACAATATAAAGCTGAGACTATACTTTTCTTCAGTTGCAACAAAACCATAAGCATTAGCAATAAATACAAACATGCTCCAGGTTTTGTATGTTCATCTTGGTCTACCTATGCTAGTGGAAAAAGTTTTAAATGGCAGCAAGGCTGGGTGTAAAGAATAAAGGATGATGACCTTGACAGAGATATGCAAGATATATTGCCTAAGAAAAAGAGACTGAAACATTTTGTAAGTCCTGTGCAAGGAGATAAAATTCAGAATTTTAGATTATATTCAAAAGCAGTTCAGACCTCCCTAATTAATTGAACTACAAGGAGGATATACTCTAGTACAGACTTGTTATTATATAGCCAATCTCAATAAAAGTAATTTTCCTGTGGAGTTGACTTACTGGTCTGATTTATCTTGTGGGACTTATGCTGAGTTCATGTACTGAAACTATAGCAATTATAATGATTGGGGTAAGCATCATAACCCAAACCAAGCACAAATCATGAAGTGAACCCTATCTATAACTATCACTGAATATAATTACAAGCTGAAATAACACTACAGAGTCACTGAATTTTTCACTACCGCAAAGAAGGTTGGGCTGAAGAACATGGAATGTGGAAGTGTTTTACTGCCAACCCTCTTTACCTGCAATCTGTAACATATTACAAGGATTCACACTTGTTATAAATTAACAGAAATACTTTTAACGGAAGCCTGTTTGCCAAAAGCTCCCTAGACTTGCAAGATAAACAGATATTCATTAACAGAGTATGATGGTGCCAATTTAACATTTGGCATGTTATTCATTAATATATATATTAGACATGTTTATATTTATTTCTTCTTCCTTTGAGATGTCAAGGTAGCACACACTGATATCACATCTTTCCTGATTAAAAGGTTCTAGCTCTAAGTTCCTATGTATTGTTGGGGCAACTATAATTCCTAACCAATGATCATACTGACAGAGAACTATTCCTATTTTTTACATTTATACCTTACCTTTCTGCAGGAGCTAAAGAGAGCATGCACGTTTATCCATAGCTCTATAAAATGGTTGGGCTAAGAAAGAGCAATTATTCCTTAGTCACTCATTCAACTTCAAAGGCAGAAAATGGATTTGGATTGAATGGGAATTGTATATTTCCAATTTTATTTGGAGAACTAACATTAAGAAAAGCTGGTTAAATCATGTGAGTCTAAGACAGATTTACCTGTTGTAAGTAGGCCAGCATATATTGTTTTACTTACCTGGACTATTCTTTCAAACATATGTGCAAGAGGCAAAAATGAAATAAGTGTGTCGCTGGGGCTTGTTATATATCCACTCTGCAAAAGACAAAACTACTTAAAATTGACATTAAAAATACAGATGCCTACCTCAACAATTCTTTCAAACATGTGAGCCAGGGGTAAAAAGGAGATTAAGGTGTCTTCAGGACAAGGAAATACTGCTTTCTGTAATCAGAAGCACCAGAAAGTAGAAGGGAAAAAGAAACCAATTACATAAGAATAGTTTTTAAAAGAAAAGGCTACCATATCCAAGTCAAGCTAAACAGAATCAATATACATGATCACCAAAGCCATTAGAAAGAATGGGAAATAAGACCAGAGTAGTCCATTAAGCCACTCAGAGTAATGTTCTGTCTTTTCTACAATTACATGGCCATGTGCTTTGAAAATCCAACCTAAGTCAACAATTAAGATTAAAGAGATGTTGCAGAAACTTATTAAGTCAATGCATTATACATCTAAATTGGAGAAGCAAGTTTCAGCATTAATATTCTAATAAATACTAGGTATAGTTATACTTATTACACTATGATTATGCTTATATTTATGTCTCGTATTCAAGATGAATGTGCAACGTATGTGCCTCTCTTTTATAGATAAGAAACTGACTGTTTTGATTACAACATCTTTTGTTTCAAGACCAAAGATCTTGTCATATAGGGTATGAGGCATTTAGTACCTAAATCTTTATGTGGATGGTCCTCCAGATACACTTGGATGTGGTTTGGAATTTTAGAAGCTAGGCCCTGAAATGTGGGAGGATACTGGATTGTAAAAGACTAGTTAAGAAACTTCAAACTGTTCTTTGATTATCATTTTAGAAAAATCAGTTTGGCTTCAGAGTTGCAAACAAGATAAAATCAGCAAGAATTTAAGCACATGAAGATAGGCAATCCATATAATTCATCAAAGTATGATCTATGTGCAGAAAAGATCAGATAACATCAGAGACAAAGTTGCACCAGAGACACCAGAAACAATAAAACATGGAAAGCAGAATTTTTGCGTTGAACTGCAAATCAAGCCTGTGTTTAGCTCAACTCCCATTCAGTGGTTACATAAAATTTGTATACTTTCTTATAAGAAAATCAAGGGATGTTTATAACATGCTAAGTTGTCCTTTTTTCCAAGAATTTCCTATTGGTTTTAACTTTTAAACCTCCCACCCCATGCTAGGAAGAAGATAGTTAAGCAAGCAAACCAAAACATCCTAAATTTCATTTGCTTTCATGTTAGGCAAGCTATTCTAAGTACCTCCTTACTTCACTTAGTAATGCTGCAATTCTAACATCCCAGCTTTTTGTAAACATTACTGAAATACCACATTAAACACCAGAACACCTAGTACAATAGAAATATCAAGTTTTTAAAGGATATCAACAGGTATATACTGTATGTATTATACATTCTATTATCTCATTTTTAATTTAAGTCAATCTCTTGGATAGGAAACATTATAAAACTTAGCAGTCCCGCTGGTACTGATCTAACATATAAAGATTTCATTTTAAAACAACAGCACTAATAAAATGAAACATATAGATTTTTTTTCTAAACTTAACTGCAGAATTAGAAGTGAAAGCTGCAGTTTTTGGTCTCCAATAAACTGATCACATCAGTTGCTAAAACTGAGATAAATTTACTTCTGCAAAAGATGAATTACTTCTTTTCCAAGTGAGTTACACTCCAAAGTCTCAAAAAAATCCAAATCAGCAACTTTTACCTCTGTTGCTTTCACAAATGCAGACATATTGCTCACTACATTTCGATGAGTAATCATGGCTCCCTTAGGACATCCTGTGAGAAAAAAGGTGTAAAGATTTGAAATTTCTAAATGGACTTGTGAGAATTCTTGTACGTGGTCCTCGATTTATAACCATTCATTTAAAGTTACAGTGGCATTAAAAAAATGACTTATAACCAATCCTCACACTTACAACCATCACAGCCTCCCCATAGTCATGTGATCAAAACTTGGGTGCTTGGCAACCGTCATGTATTTAAGATGGTTGCAGATCCCAAAGTCATGAGATCGCCATTTGTACTTTCCCAGCCAGCTTCCGACAAGAAAAATCATGGGGGGAACCCAGATTTACTTAACATGTGATTCTCTTAACAACTATGGCAAAATGGTCATAAAACTGGGTGTGATTCACTTAATAACAGCCTTGGTTAGCAACAGAAATGATGATCACAATTGTGGTTGTAAGTCGAGGACTACCTGTACATGTAAGCAAGAGCTTAAAAATATTATGTAATGAATCCATAATATTTTATAGCTGTTACAATTATAAAATCAATTTTATAATAATAAAATGCTTCTTCTACATTATATGGTATTACAGGGATCTCCAAATATGAAGGCATGTTTAGAATGTAGTGGCATCTACAGCAATGCTGACAGTCTACTTTAGCATTTCAGCTGTTAAAAACAACTTTATCATTCTTTTTGTTTCCAATATCAATTCCAAGACAGGCATACCTGTCGTTCCACTGGTGAAACAGATTACAGCTAGATCTTCTGTTTGTGGAAGCTAAAAAGAGAGAGAAAAATCCCTAGTATCCTTCTTTTTAAATCAGCATTTAAAATACCCATTATGTATATAGAAGCTATATGGTACTTACAACAGGTTTGTGTTTGTGGGCTCTTCCTGATGCCTTTGGGGAAAAAAAGTAAATTAGATAGGAGCTAAAATCACCTTCATGATTCCCAAACCTTTCATGTATATTGTTTCAAAAGTTGCACTGAATTTTGTTTAGACAAGTAGGCACTGCTTGATGATGGAGAATACAGTTTAAAAACTTTTAAACTCCTAATTCTTAATTCATAAAATTCATAATTTTACATATTCTGAGACCATTTCTCATCCTCCAAATCATCAAACTTCAAATCATAGAAATTACTCATTATATATCTAGTGACATTTAATCAATTTATTTGAATTCTTATCAAGTGTTTTTTTTTTCCAAAATGGAAAGGAACTAGCATATTGGTCATACAGGGTAGTCCTCAACTTATAACAGTTCATTCAGTGACCATTTGAAATTACAATGGCACTGAATGGATTTATGACCTATAGCTGAAGTTAGGGACACTGCAGCGCCTCCGCAGATAGGTGAAAAAAATTGGATGCTTGACAATCTGCCCACCATTACAACCAATTGTCTATTTTATGCCTCATCCTGCCCCGCTGAGTCCCCACAAGATTTGGGCCTGCTTCCCACCTCATAGGGTCCCACAGTCTTGGGCCTTACCCCCCGTTATGCTTTGCTTCAAGGACCACCTGTTTAAATGTTAAAGGTCATCTATATGTTGTGCAATCCTTAGGACTTTGAGAGACTTTATTCAGTTGGACAGAAGATCAGTGTTTGGCAACAGCCTAAAACTTCTTGCTTTCTTATTTCAAGTTAGGATGTCTCACAATAAAATTTGTTTTATTTACCTCAATTTCTTTCATGCTGATGATATCTATACCACATTTTTTCCCACGGGCTACAAGGTCTCTGTCAAAAGGATCCATTATCACAATTGTTTTAAGGACTGATATTTCTCCTTTCTCAGTGTTATCCAAAAGTAGTTTAGCTTTCTCTGATTTATCACAGAAGACCACTGTTATATCAACTAAATCAAAAAGAAAAAGGGATATTAATTCAAATCTGAGTAATCAGAAATAGGTTGGATTCTATAATTAGAGAGTGGGTTACCTTGTCATACCATCCAGTCAAGGTCTGCAATCAAAATCTGGAGTAATTGGCATACTGTATTTCTTTAGATCCAAATCTCTCTCTCTTTTTGCAGACTAGTATGACTTACGTAATGGAATTTTATTAAAAGTGCTTCTTGTATCAAGTTATTCTAAATCAGAGACAGCCAGATTTTCTAAACTGATTTACTATAGTTACTCTTAATGGTAGTCGAGACAAATCAATCCTAGTTTTATTGCTATAGCAGCTTTCAAAATAATTAGCATTACAACCTATATTATATTAGAAAGTATTACTTCACAGAAAGAGTAGTGGAAGTTTGGAACCAACTTCCAGTGGAGGTAGTGAGTCAATCATAAGTTAAGTTAAACATGCTTGGGAAAAACAAATGTCTACCATTGGACAAAAATTAATAAATATAAAAAATAAAAATAATAAAAATAATAAATACATTTAAAAGAAAACAAGAACAAAGAAAAAAACTCGAAGGACAGACTTGATCAACCAAGTTTTTTTTTTTTGCTGTCAGTTTTCTATGTTTCTATATTCAATGATGTTCAGACTCATCAGAGCATGAGGAGTTTGTTCAGTAAACTGAAGCTTTTAGGATCTACCTTTATTTAAAATATAAGTGATAGCATCTGTTCCAAGAGTGTCGTAGAGTGGCACAACCACCATAGAGTATGTGTAGCATCCTTGTTCAATGATAACCCACTGCAAGAGAAGCACAAAGAAATCAGGCCTTATTTGCAAAGCTTAATACTGTAAGCAGTTCCGTTATGATCATATTTTCACAATGTCTTGAAAGTATTGGCTGCCCTATTTTTCAACAAAGCTTTTTTTTCACAAAGGTAGTATGGGAAATTCCATCCACGAAAAATATTGTTTTTTTCTATAATCACATAAAAACTTCCTTTTTTAAAAAAAGAACCAGCATAATACATTTGGGAAAGATGCAAATGAAGCATGTTTATTATTTGCATTTCTTAGACATATCTAAATGTCTATGGAGATTCATAGTCATCCGGGTGCTTTTTCAAGAGTCAACTGGACTTCCTTGTTTTTCTCTGAACATGTTTCATTTCTCATCCAAGAAGCTTCTTCAGCTCTGAAGCTGAAGAAGTTGCCTTTTGAAAAAGTACCTTTGGGACTTCCTAGACATACTGTATGTTTACTTATATAGTTTTTTCAAATAAATGTACTAAGCTATATAGGATACATATAAAAATAAAAAAAGTTAAAAAGCATCATGCCATTAACTACCATAAGCATTCACTAGTAACCAGAAATAGGTTGGATTCTATAATTAGAATCATACCGTCCAATCAAGGTAAGAGTCTGGATTAATCTGCATACAGTAATCTTAGTTTGTATTTCTTTAGATCCAAATCTCTCTCTCTCTTTTTGCAGACTAGTATGACTTACCTAAAGGAATTTTATTAAAAGTGCTTCTTGTATCAAGCTATTCTAAACCAAACAGAGATAGCCAGATTTTCTATACTGATTTACTATAGTTACTTTTAATCGTGGTAGAGACAAATCAATTCTAGTTTTATTGCTAAAGCAGCTTTCAAAATAATTAGCATCATAACCTAAATTATATTAGAAAGTATTACTTCACAGGAAGTTTGGAATGACAATTATGTAAAAATGGTTAAACTATCATAATAGCCAGCTGGATGACTTCCATGTCAGTCACTCTCTCTCTCAGCCCAACATCTCACAGTATTGTTGTGGGGAAAACAGGAAAAGAAGGTGTAATGCCTTGAGTTATTTGTAAAAATAATAAAGGTGGAATACAAATAAATAAAATCTAATCTAATAATATAAAACCTGTTCTTTCATATTTGAGCCCCAATGTCAGACACAAGTATTTAAACCATATGATTTCTCTTGTGACATTTGTATGTATTATTACTTGCCTCTCCTCTGCAAATATCTATGAAGACAGACAACTCTGATATTATTAGCCATTTTCTTTCAGAGGAGATTCTCAAGAGACACTATTCCTACTTAGTCGTGAGTGGCACAGTGGTTAAAATGGTGTATTGCAGGCTAATTTAGCCAACTGTCAGGAGTTCAGTTCTGACTGGCTCAAGGTTGACTCAGCCTTCCCAGATTGGTAAAATGAGGACCCAGATGGTTGAGGATAATATGCAGACTCTGTAAACTGTTTAGAAAGGACTGTAAAAGCACTCTATATAGCAGTATATAAGTCTAAGTGCTTGTTGTTCGTCCATCGATTTCAATGAAGACCTTGACATCTTGTGGGTTATGGGCCATCAACGATGTGTCCGTAGGTGGCTAATAAGACCGATGTTAGCACGGAATGATCTGCCACATATTGAACTAGTGCTAGTGCTAGTTAAGAGTACAGGTTATCTGAACTAAGTTTTTACACTTTGTTTACCACTTGGCCATTTAATATTTAACACTTTAGCACTTTAAATGAGCTAAAGTGTTGGGAGTACATTTTTTAAAAATATTGTTTAGATTGGATAATTATTGTACATAGTGACCAAGCTCAAACCTACAATGTCATTATGTGTTAGGGGATAAAAGACTTACACTATAGCCCACTCAGTGGCTGAAGACATAGATGTAGATTATCTAATACTAGATTAAATTTAGGCATGTAGATTACTGAACATGGAATACAAGGGAATTAGAAAGAAAAGGTATGTATAAAACTGTGGGTAAATAGCCATTGTATCAAACTTCCTGCACAGAATAGAGCATAAGTAGACTACATCTTTGTATTCAAGATTGAGAGCTGTTGTATTATAGGAATCTAACCAATCCTAACCAAGTAATATGTTGCAATGAAAACTACATATTCTTTTGCCATGAGTATATATTTCCAACATTATAAACTCCTAGGTAAAACTGATCAAACAAGGGATAATATGACAGCAAACTAAATGTCACTAAGTGAAGAGGCTAGGAACATTTGATAACTTTCACAGCTATTTTCCTGGTCAGGAGGAGGAGGAGGAGGAGGAAGGGACCTTGGAGGTCATCTAGTCCAACCCCCTGCTCAGGCAGGAAACCGTATACCATTTCAGACAAATGGTTGTCCAGTCTCTTCTAAAAATCTTCCAGTGTTGGAGCATTCACAGCTTCTGGAGGCAGGTTGTTCCACTGATTAATTGTTCTAACAGTCAAATATTTTTTCCTTAGTTCTAGTTTGCTTCTCTCTTTGGTTAGTTTCCTTCCATTGCTTCTTGTCCTGCCTTCAGGCGCTTTGGAAAATAGCTTGACTCCCTCTTCTTTGTGGCAGCCCCTGAGATATTGGAACACTGCTATCATGTCCCCCCTCGTCCTTCTCTTCATTAAACTAGAATGCCCAATTCCAGCAACCATTCCTTATATGTTTTAGCCTCCAGTCCCCTGATCATTTTTGTTGCTCTTCTCTGTACTCTTTCTAGAGTCTCAACATCTTTTTTACATCATGGTGATCAAAACTGGATGCAGTATTCCTCAAGTACCAAGGTATTGTAAAGTGGTATTAACACTTCACGTGATCTTGATTCTATCCCTCTGTTAATGCAGCCTAGTACTGTGTTGGCTTTTTTGGCAGCTGCAGCACACTGCTGGCTCATATTTAAATGATTGTCCACTAGGACTCCAAGATCCCTCTCACAGTTACTACTATTGAGCAAGGTACCACCTATACTATACCTGTGCATTTGGTTTTTCTTGCCTAAATGTAGAACTTTACTTTTTTTACCACTGAATCTCATTTTGTTAGATAGCGCCCAATGATCAAGTCTGTCAAGATCCTTCTGTACCTTGAAGACTTAGTGAAGACTTCTTATGAAAATTAAATTCACAAATACATATGAATTATTACAAGAAAAACTTAAAAAATAAACTGAACCAATATTTATATATGCAAAACATCTTAACTATCATAGTTAAAACTCAATTTTGTGAACTGCAATCTCAAAACTAAAGTGGCCTATCTATAACATATAATATTAAAAACAACAATAACTATCCACTGTTTCTAAAGACCTGTCAGAAATAAGAGTAATTAATTGCACTAATTTATCACTAGTTTCATACTGCCAAGATTTCTAAGGTTCAATTAAAAGCAGAATTATGGGCAACTTACAGAAATACTACCTACTACTAGATAAGCTGTATCTAAGGGAAAGTAAAAGAATCTCAAGCATTACTGAAGCCAGAACAGGAGTCATGCCTATCAGGACAGATTCTCCACAGCTGGGAACATTTTACTGAACGTAACAGCTCTATTTTTAAACATTCTGTTTTTAAAGGATTTATTAGACTAATGAACTTTGTTTACCTCAGGTCTGTTCTGGGAGAAGATTCCTATGAACTGGTCAGGAGACGGCTTGAGGCCTCTGTTAAGAAGGGCTGAACCAACACATTCTGCTTTTTCTGCAACCTGGGTGGTGGGGATAAGGGTAAGAGGAAACACAAATGCCTGTACTAATACAGTTCGATATTTATGGTTTTGAAAGTTCCTTGTAATTTCATTCAATAATATCAAATCCCTGAACATACTTTATAAATCTGCTAATACATTACAATAGGATGAGATTCTCATTAAGGAGATGCCTAAATGAAATGTTGATGAACAGGTGTGCAGTGTTTGGATCCCAATCATGTTTGAATTAAGTTTTGCTTCTGTGCCTTTTCTAATTGATGGTCACAAAACTGATGTTTCATTAAAGTTAAAGTTTTCCTGGTACTCCAATATTTTAGGTTATAGATACAGTAACTAGTATATTCTATCATTCACTCAGAATATTAGTTGATTAGGAACCATTAAGGTTTAATTTATAGCGATACTGTATGAAAATGGAATTTTTTTCCCTTAAAAAAAAGGTATACAGTATTATCAAAAAGAAAGCCAGTTAGATGTAGTAGTTAAAGCCTCAAGCTAGAAACCAGGAGACCCTGAGTTCTCCTCCTGCCTTAGGCACAAAGCCAGCTATGTGATCTTGGGTTAGACTCTATCAGCCCTTGGAAACAGACTGTGACAAACCACTTCTGAAATCTTGCAGGTAGTTGTCAGGAGTCAAGGCTGACCTGAAGGCACCCAAAAATAAATAAATAAAAACTGTCCCTTTGTTCTTATTTACAGTATAATTAATTTGTGACAAGAACTACTGCTGATTATCTTCATTTTTATCTCCATTTCTTTTTTTCTTTTCAAGCTCTCCAATTCTAGGTAGCATCTCCCCTCTCTTTTTCTTGGGGGTCTCTGAGTTCCCTCAGCTTTCCAGTTATTTTCCATAAAAGGAAAGGTCAAATTAACACTTTATTTGCTTTGATGGAATACATCTAATCTATCATTGCTTTGCAACCACATACACATTTGCCTACCCACTTACCTCCTTGTAAGAAATCCATTCATATGGCTGATTTGGTTTCCTTACACCCAAACAAGGTCCATTGTCTGTAGAGATTTAAAATTCAAAATGATAAATACAATTTAAAAATAAGTAAAATGAAGCACCAAGCAACATTCAATCACTAAACAGCTCAGTTCTGGATTTTTATATTAGAATACTAAAATTCAAATTCATGTTGCAAGATCCCTATATGCAGGATTCATAAGTGATCTAGCTTCAAACATTAATTCTAAGCCCTATGATTTTCAGTTTCAGTATCTAGTGATTGGAACCAGTATATGGCTGTTCATACCTGGCTAACTGATATGGCTCCATGAATATCTATAAGATGTGCTCCTTTCAGAATTATTCTTCCTTTCCAAATGATCAATACTTACTTGACACATGCATGCCCCTTTGGAAGATTTCATAAACCGTTCTCACATCATCATAATAGTAAACAAATGGCTCGTCATTATCAAGTAGTGCAGAACGTCTGGCATGCTCTCCACCCTGTATGAAATGAAGTAAAACACATATATTTCTGCACAACCTCCTTACAACTTTCTATCATCATGCACAACAGACTATGTTAATTTCTTATCAAATTAGGAAATGTGTCAATGAACAAAATGTAAAAATTAGACATACACATATGACACATACCACTTTCAATTTGTTTTTAGCTCAGTGTCAAGGGAAATCATTTACAGCTTGTGTTAAAGCAGTATTAAAGCTGCAGATCACAATACTTAGTGTCAATAATTTAATTTGACTGAATGTTCTAGAGCACAGGTGTCAAACTTGATCGTGTCACATGATGTATTGTGATGTATTGCCATGTTTTTTGCCTTTGAGGAGCCGGGGTGGGCGTGGCCTGCGGGTGATGCATCTGGCCTGCAGGCCGCCAGTTTGACAACCCTGTTTTAGATGAATGGAAATGTAAGCTCAGGAGTAGAATTATTTCTGTTAATTTTTTAAATAAGCTTAAGTAATGTAAATTTAAATAGTGTAATTTGTTTATTTACATTATTATTCTTTTACTCTACTACATATCTCACATTTTATGCTATTGTAGCTTGATCTTTTTATTGTTTTACGACCTATCACATTCTCTCAGCCTAGAAAGGAAACAATGGTTAAACCACTTCTGAAATACATTGCCCAGAATGCTACAGGGACCTGTCCAGGCAGTCTCTGTGAGTCGGACATGATTAAACGGAAGGAAATATAAATATATACTTCTATGATCATCTTGAGTTTCATTAAACCTACATCCATACTTTTGTTCCTTTGTGTTCCCTCATCTTTGATTTCCTTCTGTGATTTTCCATTCTTACTTAAATATATCCTCAACATTATTGGATGTTGAGTAATGTATTCATAGCTTGTATCAAAATGCTGAAGGTAGAAGAAAAGATCATAAACTTTCCCCATGTTTTGGGAAATGCTGTAGCAAGTTCATAAAAAATTCTTGAACCAGGAAATTCCCAATCATATTTCTGGAAACTATGCCAGTTCCCATTCTTCAAATTACACAATAGCTGTCTTTTTCCCATGTCTAGTATATCAGCAATGGGCAAGGTGGAAGGTGGAATCACAAAGTTATTAGTCAGAGTCTTCACTGAGAAGTTGGGGTCTGGATGACAGCATCAGTAATTGCACATAAGCTCTATTGCAGGTGCACTTCTGAAGAAAAAAAAATTCTGGGAACATCTGTCTATGTTAGAGGAAGACATTGTACTGCATCTGGTTGGACAATATTCTTGTTCATTTGGACAGATCATTTCAGCCTAGCCAGTGACACATGGATTATCAACCTCACATTTCAGCCATATCTCTGGCAATCTGATGTTTCTAACACATTGCCAAATATAGGCATTGCTTATTAAGTTAAGAAAGAGTATCAATTAGTATTAGCAGTTATTGTTAGGAAAACTGCCCGGCTAACTCTGTTAAAAACAGTGTCATAACTTGAAACCCTGCACAGCACAGGATGGGAAGATGAGAAATATAGAAAACTTTTCTATCTGCTCCTTCATTAGCAAATGGGCCAGAAGGCCAGATTTCTCTAACAGCAGAGAGTGCATGTAATAGAAATTTTGAAAGCATGGCTTCTCATCTATATATAATATAGAGGGAGAAATTAAAATCGTAACCCCAACTTATTTTTATCTATGAAATATTTTCCAAACAAACATTCCAATTATATATATTGGCTTATAATTTTAGCTATAAACAACCTACATTTATAAAGCAACACTTTTGGCACTAACAATCTGTCCCAAAAAGATGTACTCTCTGTGAAGAACGATTTCCAGAGCTTGGGGCAGGAACTTAGCAGAATAGGCTGTAGGCTTACTTTTTCAGAAGTTTTACCAGTATATAAGGAGCAAAATGGAAAAGGTCAGCATATAGCACAATTCAATATGTGGCTAAAGGAGTGGTGTAACGGGAAAAGGTTTGGATATATTAGTCACAATGTCTGTAGCTGGTCCAATGAAAAGATGCACAAAAGAGATGGTTTGCATCCATCAAAGAAAGGGACTGAGTTACTTGGCTATAAATTCACAGATTTTCTGGAGGAATATTTAGACTAAGCAGCGGGGGTCAGTGAGTTAATTGATACAGAACATCCCTGTCCCCGACAATCTAAAAACTATAGGGCTATCAGTGCATGTAACATAGATGTGTGTGCGGACAAGATTATCAACCTTGCTGTCAAGCAAAATCAAGCTTCTAATAGCAAGTGTCACACAAAGTGCACTAACCAAATAAGTAGTAAGACAATAGGGGAACTCAGGCACCACACAGGTGGTGTAAACACAGGGTCAGTCATAAAGGACTCAAATGTCTATACACCAATGCACAGAGTATGAACTAGAAATTCAGGTTAATGAGGGCAGATATGATATTGTTGCCATTACAGAAACATGGTGGGATGAAACCCACAAATGGAACACACAGCTCGAGGGATTTAAATTATTTAAAAGAAACAGATCAAATAAAAGAGGAGGCGGAGTTGCTCTATATGTAAGAAATAACTACATCTCTACAGAAACAGAGCACAACAATGATGAAAACTGTCTTGAATGCATTTGCGTCAATATAAAAGGGGGGAAAAAATGACATTACCATAGGTGTATACTACAGGCCACCCAACCAAACAGAGGAAATAGATGAACTTTTTGCTAGTCAGCTAAGGTATGTAGGAAACACATCACAATAGTAATGGGGGACTTTAACTACCCTGACATCAACATGGAAACAAACTATGCACCAAGTGGAAGATCAAACAGATTCCTTGCAAACCTAGCAGACAATTTTGTCTGCCAAAAAGTAGAGAAGGGAACTAGGGGATTAGCCATTTTGGATCTAATTCTCACTAACAGAGATGAAATGATAGAAGGTGTTGAAGCCACAGGAACCTTGGGAGGAAGTGATCATGCAATATTGGAATTCAACATTATGGAAGCACAAACAATAGAACACAGTCAAACTAGAGTCTTGGACTTTAAGAGAGCTAATTTCAATAAACTTAGAGAGGGCTTGGGAAGGATTCCATGGATGAGAATCCTCAAGGGAAAAACAACTCATGAAGCTTGGGAAATTTTGAAAAGTGAGATAATAAAAGCCCAGTCCAGCACAATACCAACAAAGAGGAAAAATAACAGCTCTCAAAAGAAACCAGCATGGCTGCATAAAGAACTCTCTGATAAATTGAAAGATAAAAAAGACAAGTATAGAAAATGGAAAGAGGGGCACATAACTAAGTCAAAATATCAACAAATAGCCCGAGCCTGCAAAGATGAAGTGAGGAAAGTTAAGGCTCAAAATGAACTAAAGCTTGCAACTAAAGTCAAAAATAACAAAAAAAACCTTCTTTCAACATGTAAAAAACAAGAAAAAAGTGAACGAAATGATTGGTCCGTTAGTGGGGGAAAGTGGCAAGAAGGCGACAAGCAACAGGGAGAAAGCAGAACTATTTAACTCATTTTTTGCATCTGTCTTTATACAAAGAGAGAAAACAGACCAACCTACCAAAAATAGTGCCATAAAAAACAGAATAGAAATGCAAGTTAAGATAGGCAAGAAAATGGTAAGTGAGCACCTGTCCAGCCTAGATGAGTTCAAATCACCAGGACCAGATGGATTACACCCCAGGGTTCTCAAGAAACTGGCAGATGTGATCTCAGAACCATTGAACTATATTTTTCAAAGATCCTGGAGCACTGGGGAACTACCGGAGGACTGGAAAAGAGCTGATGTAGTTCCCATCTTCAAAAAAGGAAAACAAATGGACCCAGGAAATTACAGACCTATCAGCCTGACCTCAATACCTGGGAAGATTCTGGAAAAGATAATCAAACAACAAATCAGTGAACATCTAGAGGCAAACAAAGTCATTACTAAAAGCCAACATGGGTTTGTCAAAAACAGATAATGCCAGACAAATCTTATTGCATTCTTTAACCAAGTGACAAAATTAGTGGATCAGAGGAATGCTGTGGTTATAATTTACTTGGACTTCAGTAAGGCATTTGATAAAGTAGATCACAACCTACTACTTGATAAGATAGAAAAATGTGGGTTAGACAGCATCACCACCAGATGGATCCGTAGCTGGCTGACCGGTCGTACTCAGCGTGTGGTCCTCAATGGAACCGCATCTACATGGAGGGAAGTGTGTAGTGGAGTGCCCCAGGGCTCTGTTCTGGGCCCAGTGCTCTTCAACATCTTCATCAATGATTTGAACAAGGGGATAGATGGGGAAATTATCAAATTTGCAGATGACACCAAGCTGGCAGGAATAGCCAACACTCCAGAAGACAGGCTTAGGATACAGGAGGATCTGGACAGACTTGAACACTGGGCGCTATCTAACAAAATGAAATTCAATGGTGAAAAAAGTAAGGTTCTACATTTAGGCAAGAAAAACCAAATGTACAAGTATAGTATAGGGGGTACCTTGCTCAATAGTATTAACTGTGAGAGGGACCTTGGAGTCCTAGTGGACAATCACCTAAATATAAGCCAGCAATGTGCTGCAGCTGCCGAAAAGGCCAACACAGAACTGGGCTGCATTAACAGAGGGATAGAATCAAGATCACGTGAAGTATTAATACTACTTTACAATGCCTTGGTAAGGCCACACTTGGAATACTACATCCAGTTTTGGTCACCATGATGTAAAAAAGATGTTGAGACTCTAGAAAGAGTACAGAGAAGAGCAACAAAGATGATTAGGGGACTGGAGGCCAAAGCATATAAGGAAAGGCTGCTGAAATTGGGTATGTCTAGTTTAATAAAGAGAAGGACGAGGGGTGGACATGATAGCAGTATTCCAATATCTCAGGGGCTGCCAGAAAGAAGAGGGAGCCAAGCTATTTTCCAAGGCGCCTGAAGGCAGGACAAGAAGCAATGGATGGAAACTAATCAAGGAGAGAAGCAAGCTAGAACTAAGGAGAAACTTCCTGACAGTTAGAACAATTAACCAGTGGAACAACCTGCCTCCAGAAGTGGTGAATGCTCCAACACTGGAAGTTTTTAAGAAGAGACTGGACAACCATTTGTCTGAAATGGTATAGGGTTTCCTGCCTGAGTAGGGGGTTGGACTAGATGACCTCCAAGGTCCCTTCCAACATTATTATTATTATTATTAAATTTGTAGTTCATATACCTGCAGCACTATTATATTCAATAAGCACATCCTGGTCTCTTTTAGCCACTTTGGAAAAAATATACAAGCTAGGAATCAATGACAGTTCATGAGCTAAGCATCACATGAAGTTGAGACTATGGATACCAAAATGGAAAGGTTGAGTCCCTTCTTAATGCCAGAGGAAAACATGATAGGAAATCTCCATTTCCAGGCATTCTTGGTGTCTTGAAGGCAAGATATTATATGTGCATGTGTGTTCTATGAGTACCTGCATGAGAGAATTCTGTTGTTGTCTATCTCAGAAATTTGACCGGTGGCCTAATTTATAATAAAGGTTAGCTGTTGTTCTAGAAACACAATTTTTGAAGACACCCCCCCCCCACAGCCTCTGCAGTCATTTGTGAAGTTCAAATCCTCTGGCTCAGAGAGATGGGAAGTGCAAATTTATCCAAGGTCAAAAGAATGTTGTGAAATTAAGCAATATCTATTTTGAACTCTGCACTTGCAAATCAATATAAGGCGAGATCAATTATTTGAAAACTGGGTGTCAAGAGATTTCCAGAAAAAACTGCTAACTACTTCATCACACCAAATACAAATATCCTTTTTGCCTGATCAAAAAAATAGTTAAATATTTAGGCTTGAATGCATTGTTGGAATAGTACTAATTAATGGTTGATCTTATGACAGCTGTCCACTAATAAACTTATATTTCTCAATAATTTTAATGTTATGCATGTGAAATAATTAGCTTAATGTTATTTGCTTATTTGTGCAAAAATAAAAACTTGGGTCAAATACTGTATTTTTCATGAGCTTCAATATGCAATCTGGACACTTTTACATGCAAATGTCCTTCATTGAAAAAAGACTTTATATATGAAGGTGGCTTCCACATGTATAACAGATACATCATTAAATCTCATGAGGGTTCAGTTAAGTTACCAGCTGCAACTCACTATGAATGTGGTTGTAGAATATCCAACTGTATGCTATTCACTACATGTCATTTATTTCTTATAATGGCCAATGTTTGTCTGAATTAATCGGCAAATGTTCTTCATTAGATGGTATGACAGAAGATAGTAAATGGGATTGTATTTTGCCTGGTTGTAAGAATTTAAATCACATGTCTAGAGTCCTAGAATTCTATTCAAATGAAGAAAATAATGCAAAGTTCAGTCATAGCTCGTGACTGCAATAGTCTGCAATAGACAGCAATAGTCGGAAGAGGGCAGGGGGAACTGTAGTTTAGCCATTCTTTATCAGCTTGACTTTTTTTCCAAATCTAGTTATGCTTTAGGAGAAAAAAATGTTTGCAACCTCTAAGACTGCCTAAGGAGTTTGGAAGTAGATGGTTTAAGCTTTAAACAAGGTTGTCCCACAGTTAGGTCTGTCCTCCTACAAATTCTACTGTCCATATTCTTCAAGACTTTACACTGTATGTAGCCTGTTACAGTCAGCTAAGAAGATTCAGGTTCTGTTGCTCAAGCTAAGCACAAGATACAAAACACTGTCTCTCAGTCTCACAGCCTTCAACTCCTAGAATTCCTCAGCCAGCCATGCTGTTTCTTTAAAGGTTGAAAAACACTGATGTAAAGTATTGTATAGATCCTGAACTGCTCTCTTTAATCAATTTAAAAATAACATTTTAACTAAATAAATAGATTCATTTATCTTAAAATCTTAATCTAAAGCTCTTTTTTTGGTAAAGGATAACTGTTCCTAAAACTACCAAGGCAAACTTTTTTATAAAATAAGTAATCAAAGAAATAGAAATACACCTCTGCTTACCTCTATTTCTATAGACTGCATAGCTAAGTCACATGGTGGTTTCAGTGCTTTAGGTCTTGTGGCATACCAGTAAGTCGTCAGGGCTGCAAAAGCACCAAACCCCATCAGTGTGTTTGTTGGAAGAGTACGTACATATTGTCTTACATCACCGAGTTCTGGCATTCGCAGATGCCGAAACAATTCATGGGCTTGCATTGTGATGGGCTGCATTTATTCAGTCTCCTGTAATCTATTGAAAAAAAAAAAGACAAGAGGTGAGCCCAATGCCTTTCTCTTCCCTGAGGGGAAGGATCTATCTTCCAACACCATACCAAGTTAGAAACATCTACAGGTAATCCTTGACTTATGGCCAGTCACTTAGTGACCATTTGAAGTTACAATGGACCTCCCCAGAACTACTTATAACCCAGTTTCAAAGTTCCGAGAGCCTCCCCCCTCCAGCCATGTGGTCACATTTGAGGCACTTAATAACCGGTACACATTTACAGCTATTTGCAATGTCCTGGGGTCACATGACTATAATTTATGTTTTTTGTCAAAAAGCAGCTTTTTTGGTAAAAAAAAAATACCCATTGGATATAACATTTTTATTTAATGATTGCTGCAAAAAGATCATAAAATTGAGTATGATCATGTGTGACCCACTTAACAACTGACACAATTTATAGCCATGAATCCAGGCTCAATTATGATCTTAAGTCAACGATTGCCTGTATATTCTATCTAACAGTGAAAAGTATCTTTCTATGGCAAAATCTTTAAAAACAAAGATTGCCAAATGACATACTTTAGTAGATATACCCTCCAGGGTTTTGAACATATATTTGTTTATAATTTTTGTATCTAGTTGTAGGTTGAAGAACATATTGCCTTAAAATAGTAAAAAAAAATAGTTACTCTCTGACAAAACATTCTCTTAAGCTCCTTGAAAGCTGCAATACATTTTCTTTAAATTATGAGCTTAAAGGAATCCAATACTTTGACTGCAATCCAATATATAAGAAGATGCTTTTCTACATGACTTGACACCCTGATAACCGAACACCGAAGGAATTTTCTTCTACTTGTCTCTTTAAATCTCCAACTAGAATAAGGAGAAAAAAAGAGCAAAGATTTTTTAAAATTCTTTTTTAAATCCTGGTGTGTCTGTTCAGCTTATGTTTCGCTTTGCTGCCAAGGTCTCTCAGAACATCCGTCACATGCTCACCCTTACATTTTTTTGCCCACTAGGCCAAAGTTTACCAGCAGACAAAAAGCATATTTAGCTTTGAGACAAGGTGGGCCAATGGAAACAAGAGTCTGAGGTCATCCCACTGCATGCCCCACGGAATGTGGCATGCAAAGAAACAATGTTCACCTCAGAAACACACAACTGGCAGCAACATTCATTACTGTCCATCAACAGCTTATTCTTATTCCCAAACAAAACAAGGAAAGATCAGATATAGACAGTTTTGATCTACTAAGGCAGAAGATGTTCTGAAAACAACTGTAGAAAGTATAGTATCTATTTTCCATAGTCGCCTACATGCTTACAGCCTCTAAAATCTTGCAGCCTCTTTCTCTGGACTGGGTCCTGAGTTTAAGCTGGGGAGCAAACCACCTTTGTGTCACCATATTCATCCATGAGAGTGATTGCAATTAGAATTTACCCAGTTCTCCTGGAACAACCTTTCAGAATCTTCTCACAAAACTGAGATCCTTCCTCCTCTGCAATACAGGGATAAAACGGATCTGCTTTGGAATTGTTGGTAAGGATTATGGAATGCCATCTTTTTATCATTCAAAAGCGCGACATATATACCCATGATTACCAAATCGTTACCAATTTTTTATTTCAGGTCAGTGACTCAGACTGAATGAAACCTGTTAAATAAAACCTACACAGTGGAGCTACAAGCTACAAGCTAGAACATACAGACTAAAATAAAGCATACAAGATAGAAGATCTGCAATTGTCCTTGTTATCAGCAATATACACGTTTTACAAGCTATACACTGCAGTGGCAAGAGTTATCTTTGGGTCTGCTAGTAGAAATTGTATTTAAAATGTTTCAGTCCATTCCAAAATTGGAATTACAACAGGCCTCAGGAACTCTTTGCATATGTCTTAATAAGAAAATAGAATAAAACAACGAGTTTGTGTTTCAGTATTACCATCACTGCAAGATCAAAGCCTTTCCAAATATGGAGTTTTATGAAATTTTCCCTCCAGTTCTGATGGTATACTATTGAACCATTGCTATGTAAATCCTCCTAGAAATTTGTTGAGAGTTGATCTAGGTACAATGCCACTTTACAAAATTATAAGCTAAGCAAAAGTTTACTATATTCTGACCGTGATTCTTTATCAAGGATCCTTTGCTTAAGAACTACCATTGTTTTATCTTATCCCATAGGCTTGAGTTCTCCCTTGCAAAATATATATATACATATATTTCTCAATTTAGAATCTCCAGGAAGAATTGAATTTAGCAATTAATGTTAGCTCTGTCAGACCTGGCGCTGAAAGTGAACCTTTAGTGAATATTTAAAGACATATAACCACGCTCTTGTTTCAATTTTCATAAGTCTTGCCTCTAGTTACAATGATTAGTAATATGACATGTAAATTTTGATTCTTTGCATTTCCCTGTGTCTTTAATGTTCTGGGTAAAATATCTTTCTCCTTAGCCTTCAATCGAAATCGTACCCAAGTTAGACCATTTTTGCTAGACCAGTTAACTTAAACTCCACTGCAATATATTTTCTGAGTAATTTATATGTTCCTCACTAACAAAATCCTATTTGTATTAATGCTGTTTACTGTTTCAGCACATATTTCCATACATTAAAGCATAAACCTGCCTGTGAACCATTTAAAAATGTGACAATAAAAGATAACATTTTGCTCAGTCAATTTATTTAGCACTTTTCCAGTCATGCCAAGTAGTTGTACCTTACGATTATTTCTGCAAGCAAGACCATTAGATTGGTAGGAAAAGAATAAAAAAAAACACTAAATGTTATCCAACAGGAATGCTTAAAGAACATCAGGTTTTAATATGAATAGACATGGCTCTTAATTTTTCTATAATCGAGTGGCCAAACTTCTTTTTCCAGAGTATCCAGCCAGCACGGCCAGGATCCAAAAATCCAGTGGGCAACAGATTGTGAAAAACTGGGTAATCTAATCTAACCTCTTACTTTCACACAAACATCAAAAACACAAACACATACATAAGAGAAGCTCACGTTAGATATTGAGTCAATAGCTATTATACGGCTGTTCTAAAGGCATTATTATGCAGTGTTTTTATTCCCAACCTCTTAAAATTCCACAACAGAGATGTGGATTCATGTGTCTAAGTCAAAACCAAGGGCATAGTATGGTTTAGCATTATATGGTCCAAGCAGCAAATTCCTAAATGCTGGGTGAGACAAACTTTTGATTATACATTCATAGCTATAACTTTAATTCAGCAAGAAAGAGCTATGTAGAAGGAGCTCTGATCCTGTCTCGTATATCTTGCTCAGCTAGTCCAATGAATACCATGCTTCTAGCCAAAAAAAGCCCCTTGACACACGCCTAAGTAAAATACTGAATCAGCCAAGATGTGGTCTTTTCAGCTGCGCTCAGCTTAACAACCCTCATCCAAGTTGACTCAGTGTACTCATTCCAAGCTCCTCCCCCTCCTTTTGCCAAGTACAATCATCTATTTACAGAGAGCAGAATGCTCTTCTATTGTCTGCCAGTAGGCAGACATCATTCGAGGGTGACTGCCAACTTCTTCAGTATAGTGCTACCCCAGAGGAGCCAATGGCTTTTCTCCTTCTTGCTCTGCTGATTAAGTTGAAAGAAGGAAAAATCTATAATGGTTTGTTTAATCAGGAGCATTGTTCTAGAAATCAGCTCCACCCCCCATGCATTACTTTCCGGGAGGGGTGAAAGATATGCCATTCAAGTTAATATATAGCATTGCATTAATTCCTCTCCATTTTTAAAAAAGTGGAGATGTCAGTATCTGAAAAATCTATCTTAAATTAAGTTTTGTGGAGGAGTTGACAGATATCAAAATAATTTAGGGACACGTCAGCTGAAAGAGGAGACTTTTCCATTATTCTTAAATAGCATACTGCAAGACAATTACTTAACAGCCCAATCCTGGGGCAGTTTTGCTTAATAGCTCAAACTGGGACATGGGTGAAGAAAGCTATCAAATGTTATTTTAAAAGTACTGCCAAGTCAATCAAAGGTGCAAAGGTGATGTTCAATTCATGCCAACATGGGGCAAAACAACCTACCAGGTTCTTTGGTCCCTCAGCCTGGAGGTCTCATGGACATTGGCTACTTTCTGTTTGATTAGCAGAGACATTTTTTGCAGTTGCCCCAGTGTGAGGAAATTTTTTAAAAAATATTTATGTGACTAAAAAGTTACTTTGTCGAGGTTGCCTTAATAAAATTAAAATAGGGAGTCAAAAGATCGGTTAAATATTGCTATACGTTGGTGACTGCTTAAATTGTTTAAATTCACTGACATACTATCAGTTAGCAATAGTAAGAGAAAGGCCTCCCTGCCCCTTTTCATGTACAGCATTAAGCAGGAATGAATCTAGAAACATTAAAAAAAGAGTTTCTGATATTGCACAAAATTTTTAGTGGCTGGGCAGAGCATATATCAGAGCTGACCATTAGTTCCTCTTGTTAAATATAGGAAATATAAAATATGCCCTCCATGTGATCAGATGTCTGCTATGTAACTTCCTGAGGAGGCACTGAACTAAATCTTAGACACACTGTTGCGTAAACCAATTGGCATCATATTTTTAACTCCTGAAACCTCTAAAAGAAAACCATTCAGAAAAGCCCAAATCACGATATGGGTTATTTTGAATGTGTTGCTAACATATACCTGACCAAAATTTCACATCATCAGAATTTTTTTTTATGAAATCCTACTTAGCTTTTCAAAGGTTTAAACAGAAACATCTGCATTCTTGCACTTCTTTTTAAATTCTTTCAACTGCACACTGGGCATAATTACAATTACATTGCTGCTTGAATTAGACAAACATTAGTCCACTTATTAATCAATAAACAACAGACTAGGCACTTTTCTGTAGTTTCTAAGAAGCATTAACCATATTTTAATCAGGGGGCATTCTACAACAGCAAAAAATTTAATGAAACACGTTCCACATTTGTACTTCTTTGTAATTGAAAAGAATTATTAAAATAGTATCTTAGCCTATGAAAAGAGTGTTATGATGGCTTCATTTGAGAAATAAAACATTGCTATAGTTGCATTCAGAGAACTGTCTCTATGGATTTCTTTTCTGGATCCATACAATACGGAAGACAGATTCTTGTTGAACCTTTTGGAAAACTTCCAAACAGTAGAAATAATTTGATGATGGGACAGCCGAATCCATACTTAGATAGATGACAAGTTCTTATCTTCAGGATGTATTTAAGCAGAGGATGGATGACCATCTGTTATAAATGCTTAATTTAGACTTGGATGGAGTAATGGTTTAACTGCCCCTTCAAATACTATGATTTTATAAATACGTAACTATAAAATCCACCTATAAACAAGCTTTTCCTTCTAAGATTTTGCCTTCCTGAAAGCAAGTTTTATTTCTTTGAGGCAGGATTGACAGTAACTAAACTTTGAAGACAAAGTATAATTTACGTTTTCTCACCTTCCTACAGATTCATAACCTAGATCCAATCCAGTATTTGTTTTTATGACACTTCCACATGTAATAGTAAGTCTAACATGTTGCACCTTAATAAGGAGATTTAAGTGGTTGAGCAAACATCACAATTAATTGCTGGCCCTGCATTGCTTCAGAACAGATAATTAGGCTACAAATTCTGTTCTCAGAAGCCATTATTTAAGCAGCACTTCATTAAAGGCAAACAAACATGAGTTTCAGAGCATTAGTGTCAAAACCTTGAGAAATTGGTATATTGGAAACCACAAAAAGGCCATTAGTATGACCAAACAGACTTGCCTGTAAAGACAACCCTGAGCCAGATATTAGAGCTTTATATGGTATATTAGTATATGTTTTATCCGAAACTAGAGTTAATGCATAGTTAGTACCCACTATTAGTATCCTTCGATAGCAGTTTTCTCATGAATAAAATAAGTTAAAATGTGGGTGATTGTCACTATACTTTGGGATAGCAAATTCCATAAATCAAATGTAGCTGCATGAAAAGTATTTCCTTTTCAATCTCTCAACATTGGAGGACTGTGGGTTTCAGTATTACAAAAAAAAAAAAACAACCTTCCATATCATGCATAGTTATACCCATTACTATCCTGTCTCTACTCAGTCTTTTTAAATTCCTAGATGAAATGTGGTTGCCTTCTGTACTTTTGATGGGTCCTTTCTCTTTCTCTCTCTCTTTCTCTCTCACACAGACACACACATATTCTGGGTATGATTATATCAGCAATTAAGATATTGGCAAATGTATTTATATTCCTATTTAATGATATCCCATGCAGAAGCATAAACATCTCCAGCAAACCAAGACTGGATCAAAATGATGACACATGTACTATGACAAAAACTCTGCCTTTATATACTTGCATCTTATGTTTAAAGCAAGCCTTTAAATCATGTTTTGGCATAAAGAGGTCATGATAGCATTTTTATCCACAGCAACTGTATACTGTACAGTGCTCAACCATAAATTTAAGATCTTTTTTTCTGGATGCTTGTCATTAATTCAGAAGCTTTATGTGAAAGGAGATTAATTTTTGCCTCAGTGTGCATTTGTGAATGCTTCATTAAACTGAATCTTAAGTATTTGCAATCTGAAACCCAGGTTCTCAGAATTTAGAGAGTTCCTTTTGATTTATGAAGCATTAATAGAAAAGTTATTGGTTTAATCTGCCATTGGGAGAATTCACCATGTATTTCTACTCCTTGTTTTTATTTCTTTGTCCAGCTACTACTCCAGAAGAGGAGCTTTCTCTGTTCTTAATCCCATGACTAGATTCTGGCCCTCAAACTAAAATGATATGCTAAAACCATAGCCAAGACCAGGCATAATTAATAAATGTTAAATGTGATCTGGCGGATCTTGAACAGTAACATCCAATACGGTGATATTTTGAGCAATTGAATAAAACTCCAACCTTTTCTCCTGAAGAAGAAAATCCCAATATTGATAGCTGCAGAAGAAGCAACAGGCTTGGTTAATTACAGCCACATATTTGAGGCAGCAACAATAATGTTAAAAGGATCTGCAATCTGCTCCAGAGATTGGGATCATTTCTGGAGCAATTTAACTGCTAGAGACATATAGACAAAAAAAAGCACCATCATTTTAACTGCAACTTTATTAAAAGCACCAGGTACTTCCAGAAGCTTCAAAAGGGATGGAAAAAGCAGCGGGAAACAGAGAGACATTACAAGTCAACAGTGGAGGTCTTGCCTAGGAGTTCATAGGCAAAGTGCCATAACTGCAAATTACCTTGTCATTGCAGGACTGCTCCATCAAACAGATGTGATTTAAGCCAGCCAGAGCAATATAATTCCCTTGACAAATTCAGATAGAACGAATTTATAGCAGAGATGAGAGCATTTGACTCAGTCCTTGTTACAGGCCTAAATATCAAGTTTTTGAGTGAAAGACTGATGTTCCTTCCAAATGCAGTGGAGGAAACACGGATCCCATCTAATAATTCTCCTGTAATCCAAGGTCCCCATGCAGCATAGGTGCGTTCACCAAAACAAAAACCAAACCACTTCCACCTCCCCATTGCAAACCTTTTGCCTTTATCTCCCCGAAATCCAATAGTCCCAGACAATCCCCCCAGCCCCAAAAGGGGGGCTTAGTTGAACCCAATGGAAACCATCACAGCAAAATAACCCATTTCCTGCCCTCGCTGATAGGCTGCATCCAGCCAATACGGACCTAGAAAAGGTCCTATTGCAGTCCTTGTCTGATCCGAGGGGCCAGGGAGAGAAAGCGCCTCTCCAAGCGGCCTAGGGAAGTGGGAGGCCCCACCTTTATACCCCCGGCTCCCTGACCTGCGGCTCCTTTCCTTTACTCTCCCGGCTCCCCGCCCCCTTTTCCGGGCGCAGACAAATACAGCGGTGCAACTGCGGCGCCGGCCGGGCAGGTTAGGCTGGTCGGAAGAAGGGAAGAAAGATTAGGATCCGCCCGGGCAGGCAAGGCGGCAGCAGCTAGTGAAGAAGCGGGAAAATCCCCGCTGCCCTCCAGAAGCCTGGGGGACGATCCCCGATTGCGGCATGACAGTCTGGCTGGCTCACCCACCTGCTTTCCTCTTCGTCCTGTCTCCCGGGCACCCTTCCCTAGGCGCAAGGCAGCGGTCAACCACCACTTATGCAGCCCAAGCGGTCTGCTGCGGGAGCGTCCGGCGCTCCTATTTAAGTCGCCCGTAAAGGGAGGAAAAAAAAAAAAAAGAGTGGGAAAGAAAACAGCGCACGAAACGGAGGCGGCGCGGCTGAGTGTCTTGCGTAGCGCCAGGCCCGCCTTTCCAGTAAGCGCAGGGACACGAGAGAGACACTAGGACCAGTTAAAAGCCAAGTGAGCCGGTTGGCGTGCGCTCCTCGGCAGTCGCACCAATAGGAGGGGAGGAGGAGGGCGAAAACCACGCAATGCCAAGGGCAGTCAATCGCGCGACATGGCTGAACGTCGGAAGTCAGTCCGGGAGGTCTCAGTCCGAGAAGCGAGGGGCACCGCACGTGATCTCTGAGTGGGGGAGCGCCCGGAACATCCTCGGGGCTACCGGGTAGTTTTGATGGCCTCGGGGCTTGCTGGGGACGGTGTTCCGCATACGTTCAATGAACTGGTCTGGCAATTTAGGGAAGCGCACGCTGTCGCCCATAGGAAGTTCATGACGACGCCAGAAATCAATCCGTTCCCTTCTCGGATCTGTTTTATCGCATCACTTGTTCTCGGGAATGAAATCGGTCGAGAAAAGCAGGTTGCAGAATTATATGCTTTTGGCTGAATTCAAAGCCTGGAAGTGAGGGTACCCCGGTCATGACCACCCCTCTCTTTTTTATTTTTGCACATGGGCTCGAGAAAGATGGACAAGATAATCCTAAATATATGCCTGAAGTTCCTCTTAGGTTAAGATATAGGTTTATAAATAGAGGGAGCAAATACTAACAAGCAAGATTATTATTATTTCAAAGCATACTGAAAAGATTCATTCAGTCTCAGCCTACCCTGGGGAGAACACAACGTTTTCTTTACAGTGTGCAACCCTGTTGTGCTTGTTACTACATTTCCTCAATATAGACATTTATTTAGAAGCAGGTCTCATTGAATTTAACAGAGTCTGCCTTCCACATATTTGCACGTGCACACTGGTTAGATTGTGCAGGAAAGTAAGAGTAGTGGAAATCAGAATGAAAGTTGAAGAAAAGTAAGTGTTGCAAAGTTTTGCAAGAATGCTTGAACTATTTAGTTTTTAACATTTTGTATGAAAAAAGTTTAAAAGATGTGGGTATTTACTGCTCTAGAAGGTGGTTTCACTGTGAAATGTATAGTGCGTCAGGTAGATTTTAAAATCCAGCAGTTTTGAGATGTTTTGAAATTGAGACTGAGTTACAAGTTTAATTAGATACCGGTGGTAGTAGTAATTCCTGGATGTTCTGCCTAGGGCCTCTCATACATATCCAGAAAATTTTTGTTATTTTTAACTTCTAGAATTCTTTACATTTCTTAGTCAGAGATTCTTTTTCAGCTAATAACCCAACATCAAGTATTGTGACTCTAGGATGACCCTTCATCCTTTAATAACATGTTTCTTACTGAGTGATAAAATACAAAGCAAAGGACACTGTTGATATATACCAGAAAAGGAAGGGCTGCAGATTTCATATGCATAGATGTTTAAGATAGGGTTGGGATTCATGACTACAATAGCAACCATGGACCTGACCAAGTTATTAAGGGCCAACAGACATAAGTGGTCACACGCTAGACCTGTTTTTTAATTTCAGGACAGAGTAACTTGATCGGAAGGTATAGAATATTACCATCCATCCTTTCTCATGGTTTTGTGAGATTTTTTCCCCCCCCCCCAGTGATTTGTTGGGCTGTTCAACTAGGCAGTTCTTCTGAGGCCTTAGTCTCTGCCTGGAATGGCTGTCTGATGAGAGCCTTGACTTGACTTATTTTTAATTTTATATGTTATCAATCCTTGGGAACTCTCTGGTATTTTTTCAGGAAATTTGGGAGCTGACACCTAGAGCATTGTTGGAAAAAAAAGTGAAGAGCAAACTCAACTGAGCATGTACATGAACCGATATTAGGGGTTATATTTGGCAACAGGCACAAAGTGCAATTATTCTTCTTGCATTTGCAGGTAGCCAATTGGAGGCTCTGTTTAAAGTGGCCTGTTTCTTGCTGGGGAGGGAGGAGTTGAAAGAATATCTACAGCTACTAGCTACCGTTAGAAGTATTCTGGGCATTTGGCAGATAAAGTTGCTCAGATCCAGCCTAACTCAGACCTTGACTGGGCAGATACTGTCAAACTGGCCAAAAATGTTTTAATCTTGTTACCTCATGTTTGATTCTGGGACTCTTTAGGAAGTGGATAGGATGTTCATGGAGAGCTAGTGTAGTGGTTAAGGCACCAGGCTAGAAACAGGGATATGGTAAATTCTAGTCCTGCCTTAGGTGCAAAATCAACTGGGTGACCTTGGGCTAGTCACTCTCAGCCCTAGAAAAAAAGAAATGCAAACCACTTCTGAAATACCTTGGCAAGAAACTGATTAGACTTGTCCAGTCAGTTATCAAGAATCCAAAACTAACTCAAAGGGACAAGATACAAGATCTGGCCACTTGTTTATGGGATCTTTGTCCCTCCTAACACTTTGTCCCTTCCAAGACACTCCCTTGGTAGGTGATTGGAACAATTTCATCCTTGAAAGAGGGGTGATTCTGCCTACTGTAAATGAGAAGGAAGTACACTCCCTCCTCAAAAAGCCACAGTTGCACTCTTTGTGACATTTGATAATCACTTGATGACAGCAAAGCTGGGCTGGGGGTGGTGAGATGACTATCTTTTTTCTTCTTCATCTCTTGGTGACTTCTGATACTTTATCATGATTGTTTTATGGACCAGCCATAGGTTTGGTGGAACAATGTTGTGGTGCCCCAAAGGTACTTTTTCGGGAGCCAGTTGGACTTTCTTGCAGACTACAGGAACCATTTGCACTTCAGTTTGAGATGCAGACGACACAGACTCATCCCCAACAGTGAAAGGACACAGGGCAGAAAACATCCTGCAGCCAAGAAGGCTCCATACACATTTGCTCAGGTGACTCTGTGGATACAGATAAACCTCCAAATGGCCCCAACAACTCTCTAAAAGAATGCAAATGGCCAGCTGTCTGCAAGGAATATAAATCCTTCCATTCCCCACCATCTAGTCAGAGCTGAAGAAGCTTCTTGGATGAGAAGCGAAACATTTTCAAAGGAAAAAAAAACCAAGAAAGTCCAGTTGCCTCCCCAAAAAGGATCTTTGGGACAACCATGACCCGGACGACTGAGAATCTCCACAGACCCTGTTGTGGTGTATCTCTTTTCTACAGATGATTCCTGCCACAGTTATCAGATGCAGAAAAGTCCAGTTTAAAATCTCTGGTTTTAGAGGTGCCTCAGGGTTTTACAGTCTCTATATCAGTGGTTCTCAACCTGTGGGTCGGGACCCCATTTGGGGTCGAACGACCATTTCACGGGGGTCGCCAAACAATGCAGTCCGCCATTTTTTTCCCCCTTTTCCTTAGCTGTGCTAATCCCTTTTATTCTACTGGCTTTTGAAAGCCAATAGAATAGACTCTCGTGAATAGAGTCTAATTCTAGTGGCTTTCAAAAGCCAATAGGAATTGTCCAGGCTGTCTCTGCCCTGCTGAGCCCGCCAAAAGTCCCATTCTGCAAATGGTGCTGCACCAGTTGAGTAGTCCTCGACTTACGACCGGTTGAGTAGTCCTCGACTTACAACCGGTTGGGGGTCGCGGCATTAAAAAGCTTGAGAACCACTGCTCTATATGGTCATCAGTCAACAGTGGGTCAGATATCATCGGTATGCTGTGCCTAGAATCTGTTTATATCTGAAGGAGGAAGAACAAATTTAAACTAAAGCCTGAAAAGACCAAGTGGCTATGACTTCATAGCTTTTTGTGGTGCCAGAGATGCTGAAGCTTTCCCATGTAAAACTGGTGAGCAATTGGAGTATCTTCCTCAACTCACAGCTCCTGCTTGAAGAAGAGGTAGCAGTATGGCCAGGAAAGCCTTCTCCCATATCCATCTGCTAATACTTTCCTGAACTAACATTTTGTTACAATTATTTATGCCTAAATGACCTAGTATATGAATTATTGCAAGGCAGTTAGATATGAATTGCCTCTGAAAACCACTTGAATGCTTCTTGCTACACTAAAATGAAGCCATTAATGAATGCTCTCTGGATGTAGTTACATAGCAGTCACTTTGTGAGAGTACCCATAATATGCTCTCAAAAGTCTACTGATGCCTATTAATGTTAACCCTGCAAGATAGTCTATACAAGATGCACAACCGAGAGTAACTACCTCTATCTTTATTGTTCGGTTACATTAACAGACACTTGCAAGACCAAAAGCATTTCTCTTCTCCTTTCTTTTTACTGCGTGGAAAACTAGGGAGAATGTCTTCTGAAATGTTTCTACTCTTTCAACCTCCCAAGTAAACCAGACAGGAAATACGACTAGATGAGCTCATTCTATTTATTGTAAGGATATGTTAACAGAATCTTGAACATCTGAACTTACAAACTGCCCACCGCCACTTTAACTGCCTGATCCATTAGGGTAGGTCCTTCCTAAGTTTCTTTCTTTGACCATTAAGCCACTGGGGGCTCTGTCTCTCTTATCTGATTGTTGATGCTGATTGTTAGCATCTCTTCCCCTTGTTCTCCAAGGCCAGACACACATTCCATTACAAGCGCCATTCCCCTTCTGTGAGTTGAGACATATTTTATATGCCAGTTGTCCAGTCTGCTGATTTCCCTCCTGTCTCCAAGATCCTCACATACAATTACAGTTTTTGAGAATATTTAATATTAAAGAGACCATTCTGGGTTCTTATGTGCCCAGTGAAAGATGTATAATTTCTAGCTCCCAGACCGGTCAAGGTTCAGGACTCTGCTGTGTAAACGACTAATTTTAAGCTCTTCCATTATCAGTGAAGAGATTGATTAGTTTGGCAGGTTCATAGGAAGGCAATTATAAAGAAAACATGTTTCCACACCAAATACATTTTGGGGATATATTGATTTATTTTAGAATTTTAGAAGGAAAGTAGTTTGGTTGCTGGAATTAATGTAACCCCCTCCCTCCTTCCGTCCCTCCCTTCTTTTCTTCCCTTATTTTATAGGATTTAATACTTGCTCAACTCAAAAGAATCCTGGTGGATTACAAAAGATTAATAAAGGCAACAGTAAAATACATCAAAATTACCTTTAAAAAG